AATTTCATATACCAATTTGATCATCTCCCCTTTTGTGGACATGTGTCATGATTAAGATTTCATAGAATGGATAATCACCACAATTGATTACCCACATATCAAAAGAAAGTAGATATTCGTACCTTGAAAGTGTTTTAAATATGATCAAACAAAATTTGAGGCTTATGAATGATTCCCTCCTTTCAGATTACCTACACTTATCATAAAAAGGGCTTTTAGACCATTTTCAATAACACTTCTCATCAACTTCAAGTTCCAACAAGCTATTACCTTTCATAGAACTTATGGACCTTTAAGCATGCTTAACATACCACTAGGACACTTAGTAAACATATAACACAATGCCTAGGACTAAAGACAACATTTGCAAAAATCAAATTTACACAATCCAAACAGAAGCTAACAGGTTATGTACACCAAAAGTTTAAGCCTTTTTCTCATACTTAGAGGTTGAACCAAACTTTCTTATAAAAATGAAAGTTGTACATATACCTCTAGGATTTCATACCAACTGGATTCACATAATTTGGAGTTCTGGTCTATTTTATACAGAATTTATACAAACAGAGTGCAATTTTGAGTGGTTGCAGACAGGGTCTGGAAAATCGAAGATTTCAAGCCATGTATGGTTCGAATTAGTTTTCTCACTAAACCACAAAGTTGTAGATAACTCAAACACCTTTCTAACGGTATAAAGAACTCATCAATCGGACAAACGGTTGATTTTATATGAATTTTCAAACTTACCGAAACGAATCTGCCTCCTCTAACAGCACCAACTTTAAGAAATTTCATCAATCTTCAATTTTTAACCTATGAATCATGAATCAACTTAGGGTTTAACCATTGCCCTAAATAATAAGAAATCAGAAAAATAAACTATAAACATACCTTATCTTGAGTTTCTAATTTCAATTATAACATCAATTCTTCAAAAAACTCAAAGATTTAACAAGAAATCCCTAGGTTTATAGAGACGAGATAGAGAATTTTTAGAGAGAGGTAGGAGAGATCTTAAAATTAGAGAGAGGAAGAAGCCTGATTTTGTTTTAAAAAAAACAATTTCATATATATATTTACAATATTTACTATCTAACCCTTGATCTTAAGCTTATTAGCAATATAATCATGCTTTGGCAATTTTCTTTACAATTTTGGTCCTAACCAAGATTGTTCTAACCAACTTAGAACCCAAATGAATTTTTATGAAAATAACTAGGCCTAATAAACGGCTCTTAAAAACTAAGATATAAAACACTAAAACACATTTTCACACTTGAACAAAATTGGTTCTCGATCAAGAGATTAGATTTACCAAATACGGGGTATTATAAAAAGCACAGCGTAAAAAATATTTAGGTTACAATATTTAGAAAGATTTTCTAAAATAAAATTTCAAGCCGGATCCAATGACAAATAAAACAAATTTAACAAAGCATATGGTGTTTAGAAGGTTATTTTTAGATCTGGCTAGGATTTAGATGGAGCAATTAAAAATCAAAATAGATTTCCTCTATTGACAGTCCACACACGAACACACAGTCTGACCTCCACCGGGTGCTAGTCCAAAACCCCTAGATCTATATGTGTTTTACAGAAAAAAAAATGTTTTTTTTTTCTATATTTTTCCTGATAGCTAAATCTAAAAGATTTTAATCTCTTCATTTGATTTTAGTCTATCACCTTATTTATGTGGAGTGCGTTATAGTCCATCCATACCACAAATAAGTTCTTAATAATTATTTGTAACATTTATATAATTATCTTAAACTTTAATATAATTATATATATATATATATATATATTTACATACAACACCAGTAATAATCGTAATTATATTTTAACATATATTTTTATAATTATCCTTCAAGAATAATTATTACAATCAAAATGATTTAACACGACTTTCTGAAAATAGAGGCAAACGTATTCTTTTATGTATGACCCTATAAGTTTACATACTTGTTAGTAATATTCTTGTGTGACACGTATCATGGGCATATAATAATCCCAGCCCATCAAATGCTCCACCGCCAAAAAGGCTCATTAAATTTCCAATATTATCAAATCTCTCCCAGAAATCGAGATTCAAGATTAAAGATTCATGATGCATCTAGCAATCGAGATTCAAGATTTATGCATTACAAATGACTATTTAACTTAACACAATCAGATCCCAAAAATCATAGTAATGAATTCAAGAAAATTTCAGAAATCGGGAGCAACTAAGGAGTAAGAAGTAGATAATTTTGAGCTTTACACTGACACAAACAGGCGCTCGTCTAGATGTTTAGCTGATATTTCTATTTTCTTCCTCGCATCTCTGTTTTTGGAGATCGCTCATCTCAAATTGGGTTGTAACACATATGTTGAACAAATCGATGATGAAAAGGGAAGGATTTCAACGAGATTTACCCGTTTGCTTTCTTCCTAATCTTTAACTCAAGTAGGTTCCTTTTTAATTGATAAACAAGAAGGGGGGAGGTATCAAGGAACATATCGACGGAGCAAGGGAGTAGATACAGACGCAGAGGGAGGAAGAAGAAGAAACATTGAAATAGTTTGTTGAGAGGGCTTTTTCTTGTAGAGGCTGATGTTTAGTATGGTTAGGGTAAATACGGAATAGTATGACTGAATGCAAATGACACATCTACTTTTGCTGACCGAATGAAGCACTTGACTGAAACATTAAGGGGCCGTTTACCTAAACACTTACCCGGTAAGCGCTTAACAGTAAAATTCAACTCTCTTTTGTTTATTGGGTAAGATTTTAGTCTACCAAACGACATAGTATGTAATAATTTACCCGGTAAGCGCTAACCGTGGTAAGAGTCATCGTCATCACTTACCGGGTAAGACTCTCGATTCGTGCATTCGCTCTTACCAGGTAAGATTTTTGGTACTTGTCATATTCATCCGGTAAGGGAATATGACTTGATAAACGCTTACCCGAGTAAACATTTAGTAAACGGCCCCTAAGTCACAACCGAACAGGTTTGTATGGCTTACAGAATAAGCCATATAAGTTATGCATTCATTAAGTCACAACCGAACAACCCCTAAATGCTATACCACTAAGCTATAATTGATCTGTTACAACTTTTACTAGCCATATAATATATTAAAATATTTTGATCCTATACATTTGACCCGTTGCTAAAATAAGATATATAGATTAATTTTTGTTTTATATTTAAGGGTGTTTGTTTAGAAGTATTAAACAATAATCAATGATAATAAAAATAAAAGAAACAGTTTGGTTTTATATAATATAATGAGTTATTTCACCTAGAAGTTTATATTTTCATTCATGGTTAAACTGAGAGGAATGAAAATCATTCTCATTTTCATTCTCTGTCATTTTCATTTTCATTTCTTAGACTGAACCAAACAGCTCCATAATTTCATTTTTACTTTTCATAAAAAATAAAAAGTAAAAGATAATATAAAAGCACGATTAAAAGTTATTATAAAGTAACTAGAAGGGTACTCGCACAATGTTTTTATTTTTGAATAAAATATAAATTTGAAGATAACATAAAAAAATATAATCAATATTAATATTAAATTAACCATTTAATAGTTCTCGTTTTTTTTGGTGTAACTTCTTTAATTCAGTTTTTTTATTATAATTTAATTTATGTTTAATAACAAAGTAATTTATTTTTGATTTGATAATATAATCTTTATTAAAGATAGTAATTAAACATTCGGTTAGAAACTCAATAATTATCTTAATTATATTTTAGATTTTGTATATTTAAAATAGATGTTTATCTTGTATTTGATTATGTTTATCTGTAGTTAGTTACACGAATTTAAAAATGAAGTTTTAATAAGTTGTACTTATACAAAAGCATTCATAATCTTGAATTTTAAGTAATATACATTAATAAACAGTATTTTATGTATAAAAAATAGTTTTTAAAATATAATTTAGTATATATATATTTTTATTTATTATTTTATTAGAATAATGATTAGAACGGTAGTTAGTTTCTTTTCATATATAAATTATTATGTTAATTTATAAATTAAAAAAATGAAAAAAAAAAAGTGAAATGGGTTTTAAAAAGTACGTGCCAAAGTTGATCATGGCATCAAGTGATATACATGCAAGCACGCCATTTTGAGGATTACACGACTATTTTTATTTTTAATAAAATTTTACGATTTTCTTATCATTTAGTTTTGAAATTATAAGATGGTCATCATGGTTTGTAAAAACATTCGGATTTGATCCTTTCCTCTAACAGCTCTTAAAATTTTCGTTAAATAAGGAGCATTTCCATTCTTTTATCGATTTTTTTTGTCTTTTAACGGATCAAAATTAATTTTATGATTTAGTCCTTGTAGTTTTTGATCAGATAAAAATGGACAAAATTTAATAGTTGTTAGAAAAAGGAATCAAATACAGACAATTTTACAAATTATACCAAAATGAAAAATGTATTTTTTGACAAAGCACAAGGACTAAGGTGTCATGTACTAAATACTTACTTGATAAGTGTCTACCGGATAAATTTTCTCATCGGATGAACATGAGAAGGGCCAAAAATCTTACCGGGTAAGAGTGATGAGAATGATGGAGAGTCTTAGCCGGAAAGTGAGGAGGAAGACTCTTACCCCCAGGTAAGCGCTTACCCAGTAAATTGTTGCATTCGATATGTTTTGGTAAATACTAAAATCTTACGCATCGAAATAAATCATAATGTTGACTCTCATCGATAAGCGCTTACCGGGTAAGCGATTGGGTAAACGAAAATAAAAAAATAAAATAAAAATGAAACACGATTCTTGTTGGTTATAATTAAGAAAAGTTATTGTAATTTTGGTGTCACAGATTTTTTTTAATTAAATAATAAAAATAAAAAATAAAAATAAAAATAAAAATGGAAGGATGGTGAGGCACAAGAGGCCGAAAGACAGTTTCTCGCCCCCTTATAACCTCTTCTTCCCCCCAACAGAAACATTAGTTTTTCATTTGTTTTTCCAGATTTCAAGGATCTCTCTCCCCTCTTCCTCTTCCTCCTTCTGCACTTTCCGTCTCGACGTAATCATGGTATGCATACCTCTTTCGATCTCATCGTTTTCATGCTTTTTCTTCTTTCATTTGTTGATATGCGATCATACGATATGAAAATTGCTCCGGTTTTACGTTAATTGAATGATGTGTTTGTGCATTCATCCACATCTGAAGGATCGATCTTACATTGATTCATTTTGCTTTTGTATTGATTCATTTTGCTTTTGTTCCTGTTTTCTTCTCCGTGAATTCGGCTTCTCAAATGGCCTTGCATGTCACGATTGCTCTGGAATGGACGATAGCATTATAATTGCTGTGATTTACGTCAATCATGACGCGATAATATGTTTGTTCATGCATCATCACCTCTGAGCCACATATTTACCTGATTTTAGTTTCATCAACATTAATTGCGTGATGGATTTCACTTTCGTGTCTGTTTTTGGACACAATTTATTGTTTCTGTAAGGTGAATTTGGCTTCTGGATCTCGGCATGACAACCGTGATAATAATTGATTCGATCCAGAATGGATGATAATGTAATATTGTTCAGGTTTATGTTAATCATGATCCAGTAACGTTTTACCCATGCATCCTTGGAGCACCAGTTCATTGGGATTACATTGATGAATTTCGTTATCCTTATTGTTTTTTGAAACGAGTTGTTGGTTTTGTTAGGCTAACGCGGCTTCTGGAATGGCTGTGGATGATGAATGCAAGCTGAAGTTTCTGGAGTTAAAAGCACGGAGGACCTACCGATTCATTACTTACAAAATCGAAGATCAGCAGGTGATCGTTGATAAGATCGGTGGTACTGACCAGACCTATGAGGATTTCACAAACTCCCTCCCTGCTGACGAATGCCGCTATGCTGTCTTTGACTTTGATTTTACCACCGATGAAAATTGCCAGAAAAGCAAAATTTTCTTCATTGCCTGGTAATGATATATATGTCCTCACATTAATCTAAATCTTATATCCCCTTGAATTTTGTCTAACATGTTACCACCAGTATTTGATAATCGCATGTTTTTCTTGCTTTAATGAACCTATATGATAATCGCATCTCGTGCATCCCTTAATTTTGTACCCCTATTTGCTATTATAACATTTTGGTCAGACATTAAGCATCCCTACTAGCTTGTTAGGGTTACAGTTTTTATATATGCATTTATTTCGATTGAAAAGATAATCTAGAGATGATTATTTGAAATAAAATAGGTCGCCGGATACGTCTAAGGTGAGAATGAAGATGGTGTATGCAAGCTCAAAGGACAGATTCAAGAGAGAACTAGATGGAATCCAAGTTGAGTTGCAAGCCACTGATCCCAGTGAGATGAGCTTCGACATCATAAAATCTCGAGCAATCTAAATAATAATGTTCCTCTATGAGGGAGCTTCTTTTCATGAATTTCCTTTACTGCTTATGCTTGAACGTTGTCCTTTTTTTGTTAATTTGTCTTTTCTTCTTAATTTTTTTCTATTTCCGTTCAACGAAAAGACATTATTGTAGCGTAATGTAACATTACTACGCACTCATATTGTTCATGTTTGAAGACATTTTGATTCCCTACCTCAATGGAAATTTATTTGCATCCATTATATGCTTTGAAAGCTTTGTGTTTCATACTCAAACTCTATTTTTTCTATTAACTAGGATATCCAACCAGCTATACGAGCCGACTAATCCCAGGGCGACCACCTGCTTTGCAGGTAGCCCTGAATCATCGCATTTGAACCTCCATGGCCACAAGGGGATTTTTATTCCTCATTGGATTTGAACCTGAGACCTCCAGACACTTTTGACCTTTGGAGCTCAAGCTCAAACCAATCAGACACCACCCTTGTGGTTACTCAAACTCTATTTAGTGATCATGCCTTGGAAGTTTATTGAAAAATCATGTCAAATGGTGATCAAGGGTTCATATATCTTCTCACGCTTTTCACACAATGCTTCATCTTTGAATATAACTCTTAAATTCAACATTTTTATTAGTTGATTAACAATTTAACCATTCAAATGAGGCTATAAATCGAGTGATTTAGACATCGTATTGTGTTCCATATGGTTATTCTTCATTTCTTTCAACTAATTATTTATTAGTAAATATAACGTCAGCCGTTGGACTTCATAAATAACCGATCAAAAATATTACTTCTCTCTATAAAATTATGCATGACGAGACAAATGGTCACTGTGTTTCTTTGTACTGAAAATGAAAAAAAAATGAGTCATCTACTTTAAGATTAGAAATCTTGTTTTTAAGATATTGTAATTTGTAAGCATGTTTAGTAAGAATAAAACATGTTTGAAATATTTTTTTCGATTTTTCCGTGCCAATCTTACGTATTTGTGGTTGCATCAGAGGTTGTCGGCAGATTTTTTTTTATAAATTCTATCATTTCTTTCAGTACTTCATGAAAAACATTTATAAACAACTTTTGTGGTATATTAAAATCTTCATTTAAACACTCTAGAACATTGATATCTATCGACACTTGTGGGTCATTTATCAAACACTTACCCAGTAAACGTTTATCGGTAAAATTTAACACTACCACTTATTTACCTAATAAGACTTTAGTTCACCAAAACAATATGCAACAATTTACCCAGTAAGCGCTTACCGTGATAGGAGTCGTCGCCCTCACTTATCGGGTAAGAATCTTGGTCATTATCACGCTCTTACTGGGTAAGATTCTTAGTCCTTACCATATTCATCCGGTAAGATAATGTGACTTAATAAACGTTTACCCGAATAAACGTTTTGTAAACGACCCTTTATATGTTTATTTGCTCGTTTATCGACACTTGTATGTTCTTATAGAATAAAACTTAAGAAATTGATAGAAATGTTTGGAAAAAATTAATAACACAAGTTTCTTATTTATACAAAATCACATTAAATCATTTTTTCAATGGTACCCTGGAAACTAATTGTTACGATGGGTAAAAACTCTTAAAAGTAAAAATAAGGCAAAATACTAGTCGTTTAGAAGTTCGACAATTGTCGATTCTTGATTGGCCCAAAATTAGGCTTTATTTTTATATACAACAACTACTGACTAGTCACACATTGGTCCTAAAATTTGGTTCGACCGGTGATCAACTTGAAAAATCCAGCCTGATCAAAATTTTCTTGACTCAACCTTGGATCTATTGTAACTGGTTCTTTTATGGCTTGTTTCGGTCCTCAGACCCATTCAAGCATTTTTACCGGGGTGCATTTGTTACGATACCAAGTTTTTTTTTCTCCAATATCATGTATCAATGAATTATAATTGGTACGCAAAATTTTATGCCGTATATCAACCAATTATAATTGATATGCAAAATGTTATTAATCTATATACCAACCAACTGTACTAGGTACCAATCGGTATCAACTTTTTTCAGTTGGTACATGTTGAAACAAGTTTTGTACTAACTTCAAGTGACATATATCAAGACTTACCATTATGTTCAAATTTTAAGTGACATTTTAAAATTTTTTTTTCAGGTGATGCATGTGATAAGGGTTTTTAGTTTCAAAAAATAGAATTTATGAACATTCTAATGTTGAAACAAACTAGTAAAAGTTATAAAGTTTAATATTTAATACATATAAAATTCAAAAACCAATAAATAATTAAATAAATTGGTATCATGGTATTAAAGGGCGGACCGGTTAAGGGTTCAACAGGGTCCCATGCAATCATACACCCGCTTAATTATGAAGGTCTCCTTAACTATTTGGAAATTGAATTCTATTGTTTACGAATTCTAACATTTCTTAAATATTTTTCGTGTTAGGGGTCGTTTACTAAACACTTACTTGGTAAGTGCTTAACGCATAAATTTCCTCATCGGATGAACATGAGAAGGGCCAAGAATCTTACCGGGTAAGAGCGATGAGAAAGATACGCTTACACAGTAAATTGTTGCATTCAATATGCTTTGATGTATTAAAATCTTACGCATCAAAATAAATTATAGTGTTGATCCATATTGGTAAGCGCTTACCGAATAAGCATATGGATAAACGGCCCCTTAATCTTACATATTCGAGGTTGCATAAAAGGTTGTTGGCATATTTCATTTACGAATTCTGGCATTTCTTGTGGAACTTCTTGGAAAACGTTTATAAAAAGTTTTTATGGAGTATTGAAATATCCATTTAACCACTTTAAAATATCTCCGTGTCAAAAACGTTGTTACGTTTTCATGGACACTTATGTGTTATCTAGTTTTAACCAATTTATTTACTTAAAACGATTGCATGGTACTCTATATCCACAATACAAAACACGACAATTAATCGACTTTGCAAATTGCATTCACCTAATAACTTCACGTATATTCATAGGGGTGTTCGCGGTCCGGTTTGGCAGGTTTAACCTCTCAGACCACAAACCAAACCGTAATGGCGGTTTATAAAATTTTCAAACCGAGCGGTTTGACATCAAGTGTCCAGACCAGTCAAACCAGACCATGAAAAGGTTGTCTGGTCTAACCGGTTTAGGCGGTTTGGGCCTTTGATGGACTTTAAATGTTAAACTAAAAAAAACATATATAATTTATAATTTTAGATTAAATATCCATTTTGATTATGTTAGATGTTAGACTTTATGTTGAGCTTAGGGATATATTTGAACCATAGTCCATAAGTTAAAAAAAGTTGAACTTGTTAATATTAAAATAAATAATTAAATTATATATATATGGTGGTCGGTGTGGTCCAAACTGCCCAAAAAATGTTCCAAACCGCAGACCGGACCGAACTGCCCGGTTTTACTATTTTCCAAACCAAACCAAACCGCCAGACCGCTCAAACCGCCAAAAACGGTCTGGTTTGACTTGGTTCGGCCGGTTTGAGCGGTCCAACGGTTTTTTTGAACACCCCTAACGTACAAGCATCTTCACTTAATATTGAAGTGTTATCTCTTTGCGAAATCTATTCCTATTAAAGAGATTTTTCATGTTACATAAAAGATATATAGAAGTTAACAATACAAGTTGGTCCTCAAGAAACTTATAAGATGGCAATATGTTGAGGTTTTATGTATTTATCATGGTGGAACCAATGAGGATCGAATCGGGTGCGAAATCAAAAGAAAAACGCAGAAAAGAGAACCCCACGACCTGGCGCGCGACCTTGGGTTGCAGCGCACTCCGTGCATCTTACCGGATGAAAATGAGCTGGCGACATGCGCGACTTAGCCAGCGACCCCGGGTCGCGGGAAAGGTCACCGGAAACACGCATGGGACCTTTTTGATCAATTTTTCTCACTTTCTCTTCTCATTTCTTCTCCAACTCTCTCCTCCTCCATTCCCTCTCTAGATCTAAATATTTTTGGACTTTAGCTCGAGTTTGAAGGTCTTTGGGAGCTTTCGTTGGTGATTTTAAGAGTCGATTATTAAAAGTAACTTCTTATCCCTCTACTCTGAAAGTTAGGGTTTTGGTTTCCTTTCATTCCCAAACCTTTTCCTTACTTCGTGGAGCTTTTGAATAAGGTTGGGAGTATTTGTAGTAAATCAAACTTGTGGAAGCTTTGGAACTAGGTTTTGAAAAGCTTGCTAGCAGATTTCAAGTCTTCACCAATGGAAGCTCAAGATCTGAGGTAAAACCTACATTTAGTATAAACTTAACAATGTGAGTTCTAGTTGTTTTGCAAAACTGTATGTCAAAAACATCTTCATTTTAAGGATTGAACACTCCCCAATGGGTTTATTTCACTTCTGATGAGTTTTACGGATATTTGTACTTTTGGGCATAACTGATTTTTGAAATCTTAAAAGATGTTTATATGGTGTTTCGAAACACCAAATGATATATATTGCTTTTGAATGGATTTTCTTGGAGATTTGGGCAAAAATGTTACTTTGGATCTTAAAAAGATGCCTTGGTTTTGTGATGATTTCGTTTGGAATTATTGAACGAGTTGAAACCCTATTTGGAGTCAAATGTTGTTTTAGAATTTTACCCAGCCTATGAACTTTTAATTATGGCACATTAGTCCTTTTGGTCATAAGTGTATAAGTATTTGGTAAACGCCCTTCTTTGGCTTTGTGAAGATTTTGGAAAATACAGACCATTCAGTTTTAGGCCTTTAACTATTAAGCTTCAATGAAGTGTTGGTTATGGACCTACTCATGTTACAGGTATCATGTATTTGTTAAATGTTGGAAAATATGTCTTTTTGGGCTTATGCGGGTTATATTGACTTCATTTAAACAGTCAAGTACATTATGGGGACTTTTGGAATGATTTTAACTCAAATGAGCTTTGGGGACATTTATTTAGTTTTAATAGCTCAATGGAGCTTTGATGTAGAATGCATTAATTGCATATTTGCTGGATAGTACATGTTTTGAGTGTGTTAATCATTCAATTGGAGTCATGTAATTTTAGACTGTAAGGCATTGGATCCATAGGCGGTGGAGTTTGTATTGTTGTTAAGATTAGAGTTTTGATGTCCACACTTACGTCTAGTGAGTGGTTCCCAAGTCATGAGTAGAGAGCTTGTGGTGGTAATTTTGGGTCGTATAGGGAGCTATTAGCCTGTGGTGGTACTCGGTTTGAGTCGTATACGAGGCTAGGTCTTGCGGTGGTGCTCACTAGAGTCGTATACAGAGACCGATGACTTTTGCGGTGAGACTCATCTAGAGGTCGAGTAGACACTAGGGTCATTTTGGGAATCTTGCGGTGATGTTCAATGGAGCCATATACGGGGGATCCATGACCCGAGGCAAAAGTCGAGAAAGTTGATAATCGGCTTACTTTTGTGTTCCTGCAACACTCGATGGAATCGAATCTCCCTCATCATCGAGAGGTGTTGTTTTCGGGTGCTTCGTTGCCCATGCTTTCGATGTTTTGAATACATGGATTTATCAGTATAATTAGTGTTTTTGTAGTTTACCCCTTGCGTACATTTTGGGTAAGTTTGACGACTGATTGTTTATCCAAAACGAGTACTTAAATTAAAAATAACGAGCTTTGTAAAGATATTCCTTTCTATGGATTGAGTTTAAATAATGGGTTGCCGTTTTAAGGAAAATGTTCGTTTTAACTGTTTCACGTTTTATATGATGAAACTGTTTTAACTCACTAGGCGTCAAGCCTATCACTTTTTTCTTATCCACATGTATATCATGTCTTAGTAGGATCTGAGCAGTATTTGAAGTTTTGTAGTGGTTCTGGTAGGATGGCTTTAGAGACATCATTCAATTTTCAAGATAACAGATTCGATGTTGTAGTAACATCCGACCTATTCTAGTTCTATTTGGGGAATTATATAATCATGTTTAGAACTCTGATACGTTTTTTTTGTCTTCCTTCCCTTGTAAACTTTAAGTACTTTGTTATTAAAGTTTTTTTAAGCTTGTAAAAAAGTGGTTTTCTCATTATCTTTTAGTTTCACCAGCGCTTCTTAAAATGGTTAGCAGATTTGAGTTTTTCGTCTTGATGGGTTTGGATGACTTTTGATTGTTAGTTTTAATAGGTTCGGGTTTTTCTGATTTTGATTTTAAGATTTGGTATAACTTGATTTGGCTGGAGAAGGGGCGACGGCCGGAGACGACTGGAAGAAGAGTAGTTACCGGACAGGATCGTCCCTTAGCATATTAAATGTGAGATTTTGAACAGGGACCTCGAAATTTTGGGGCCCAAATTTACATGTGTTCAGGGTCTTTTTATCGACCTGTGTAAAAGTATAGCCGAAATTATTTATGTTCAAACCATTAATCATTTGGTTTTAGGTTCAAATCATTATGGTTTATGTTTAGTTTCATATTGTTAATCGTTTTAGGTTTAGTCCATTTTTGTTCTTAACATATATTCTCTGTTATCTCATTTATGCAATGTAATCAAAAGTTTTGAATGCAACAGGGCCTTCAAAAAGATTGAAACGTTCCTGTTACCGAGGAAAATGACCGCATGGAGTGAGGAAGGTTTATCGACTGCTGACTTAAGTTAATCTATGGTTTAACAGAATTAAGTTAACCTAGGTAAGGGACTTGATCCGAATATAAATATAACCATAGGGATGAAATCTGTAATTTACTCTTCAAAAAATTAAATTGTTAGGAAATTTGTTGGAGATTTTTCAATGATTTACAATTAATATTATAATTAATAAAAATAAAATATTTAAAATCGAATATTTTGGAGATTTCAAAAATGAAAATTTAATTTGTTTTGAATATAATTATTGAGAAACTTTACTTTTGGTTTCATGGAGTTTTAAGCCAAAAAACAAACTGTGACTCTGATAGGCGAGTGTTTCTTTTTTCTTCATCTCTCTCTCTCTCTCCACAACCACGCGCCGCCGCGATGATGATGAGCATCGTTGATCACGAACTCCCCGACTATACCCACAACCTCTACGACGTCACATTCTACGAGAACACCATCTCCACCATAGTTACAAACACACCATCCTATGTCGACTCGTGGATCGCCGAAATCGAACGCATCCACCGCCGCCATCTTCACCGCCTCATCGTCGGACTCGATGTCGAGTGGCGTCCTAACCAATCCCGGAACTCCGATAACCCAGTGGCCATTCTCCAACTGTGCGTAGGCAAACGATGTCTGGTGTTTCAGATCCTCCACTCCCCTACAGTCCCTGAATCTCTCAAGAATTTCCTCCGCAACCCCTCCTACACCTTTGCTGGGGTGGGGATCGAGAGCGATGTGGAGAAACTTACGGTGGATTACAACCTGGTGGTTGCGAATATGGCTGATGTAAGGGCGTTGGCTGCGGTCAAGTATGGTGTGAGGGAGCTCCAAAATGCAGGGTTGAAGAGCTTAACGATGACGGTTCTTGGGAAGGAGATAAGCAAGCCGAAGGGTGTTACGATGAGCAGATGGGATAACGAATGGCTGACTCCGGCGCAGGTTCAGTATGCGTCCATCGATGCATTCTTGAGTTTTAAGATCGGGAGGACTGTGATTTCTGGGAATCAGAACTGATTCAAAATCGCAATCGATGATCATACAAGGTACGGATTCACAAGAAGAAATCAGTAGTTGATGTTTGTTTGAATAGATATGATTTTGATTGCTTGATGGTTGAATGATCTGGGTTTAGAAATCGATTCTGTAGATGGTTTGAATCTGTTGGTATTTTAGTTGAATTTTGGCCCAAATTAATCACAAACACCATCAGCCGTTGACCTAATGGATCATCGATTTCCATATCAAAATTCTAATTAATTTCCGTAAATTCCAAAATCGTAATTATGATTTACCCTTTTAAATATATAAATTATATTATATTTCAGAGAAATTCGGTTTAACAATCATGAGTTGTTTGGTAATTGTTGAATGATTTGGTGCAAAATGATTAAGAAGCTCTTATGATTTAATATAAAATGAAATATAATTATCTGACAATTGTTTACAATAAATTAGGATGTTGAATGGTTTAGGGAGAAATCATTCCATTGTAAAATGTTTTGTATTTGAATTTTCCTATTTGTTGACTTTTCCCTAGGCTAAATTTTGACTTTGCAAGCCTTTGATTGATCTTAAAGGTGCACCTGCGTAGGAAAATTCTTAGGTCCGTCACTGAATAAGGAGTCGTTTATCTAATTAGTTACTGGTAAGTATTTATCAGTATAATTTAACATTATCGTTTATTTATTGGGTAAGTGCTAACCATGGTAAATATGGTTGATCTCACGTATCAAGTAAGAGTTTTGGTCCTTGCTTTCGTTCTTATTGGGTAAGATTTCTGGTTCTTGGGCAATATTAATCGTGTAAGGTAATGTGACTCGATTAACGCTTATCCGAGGTAAGCGTTTGGTAAACAATACCTAACTCTTGCGGTGAAAAGTTCTTTTATGTATACATATTTATTGACAGTTATGTTAAAACAAAACAAAACAAAACAAAAATAGAGATTTAAGAGTTTTTTTTTATGTCAAAGGGCAAATGATTGTGTGAAAATGAGAGTTAAGGTGGGAAATGTAAGAAATGATTTGTATCATTGATCACTTTTAATCTCAAACTCACCTATCAATTGTGCTCACGGACGGACCCACATGGTGCCACTAGTGGCACATGCCACCGTATTATTCTTCCGTCGAAAGGTAAAAATATTAAGCTTCGTGAAAGGTGCAATTGTATTAACTTATTATGTGTCTTCTTATGTATTTCAGAACTACAACAAGAACAAGTTTCTTTGGTTGAATTGGTTAGCAAGACTTTTCTTCCACCTTAGATCTGAGTTTGAATCCTGCATGTTAGTGTCATTTTCTTGGTCAAATGATATTATCATTTGAATTTTTTTATTTATTTGTTTTTATAGTCAAATGTGTCACTTTATTGAAAAAAAATATATATATATATATATATGTTCAAAGTCCGTGTAATTTCTATTTTCTGTGTTTTGGAGAATTAACAAGATAGCTGTGATATACGCGCTGTAAAGGGCGAGTGGATTAAGTAACCTTTACAGTTTTCCTCCCTTTTTCTGCGGTTGGAAGAACCTACTTCTATTAACCCTTAAATTCTCACTCTCTCCCACAACCACGCGCCTCCGCAGAAGCCATAGCCGCCGCGATGACCATGAGGATCGTGGATCATCAACTCCCCTCCGATACTACGAAATCACATTCTACGAAGACACCATCTCCACAACAGTTACAAACACATCCTCCATCGTCGACGCCTGGATCGCCGGCACCGAACGCATCCACTCCAATAGCCTTCACTGTCTCGTTGTCGGCCTCGATGTTGAGTGGCGTCCTAAATACACCCGGAACTTCGACTCTCCGTCGGCCGTCGATGTCTCATCTTCCAAATCCTCCATTTCCCTATAATCCCTGGATCTCTCGTAACTTTCCTCGGTAACCCCTGCTATACCTTTGTCGGCGTGGGGATCAACGACGATGTGGAGAAGCTTAGGCAGAATCAACTACTTGGTGGTTGCCATGACCGCCGATTTAAGGTGGTTGGGTGAAATTCAGTATGGTCTGAGGGAACTTAGGAATTCTGGATTGAAGGATTTGACGAGCGCCGAAGAATATTACGATGAGCAGATGGGATGATCAGTGGCTAACTCCCGCGCAGGTACAGTATGCGTGCATAGATGCCTTTTTGAGTTATGCGATTGGTCGGATCTTGATTTTGGCGATCAGAATTGATTCAAATTCCCAAATCAAAGAAATTAGGGTTCTTAGTGTTTCTTGTATGATTAAACCTGAATTTGGTAGTGGATGCTTTATTTATGCATTTGAACAGACAAAGACATATTTTAAAATTTATGTTCTCCAAAGAATTCGTTTTCCCGTTTCTCAACTTGTTTAATTGAATTCATTTTTCTTTCAAGAATGGAGTTAAGAGTTTGAGGATCATACGGAGGTGGCATGGTGCAGGGCCTAAAATCTGCAGGGCCTTTGACGATAGACTCCTTCATGAATCTTTTAGCAATCCCTTCTGAATTGCAAGCCATGGTTTCGGAACAAATTTCGATTGCGTTCCGGGGTACAACCGGTTTGTATTTCAGGAGCTTCGAGTATCCGTTCAGAAGATGAAACATGTAGTCGTATACATGATCCATCTTCAAATCTTCTTGAATAAATCTGCTTCCCGCCCTTCCGATTCTTTGGGCCTTTTGCTTGTGATTGTTTCCCCAATCGACAGCAAACTTGATTGATCTGCATTTGCCATCCATCCTTACGGGCCAGTAATGGTGGACGGGCATCAACCCTCTTGTGAAGAAATCGTAGTAATCGGGTTTTACCATTAAGGTAACCGAGTCACAAGCGAGAATGTATTTCTCACTCACGGACCATGCAGATCCCTCGAATCCCTCGATATAGATCTTATATCTGCACGGAATATGTGGACCCCATTAGATTACTCTCCGTTGTTCCAACATATACTGAAAGACTAACTGATGTGGGACTCTAACAGAAGCAAAAGATTGATTCTTGCCTGTGGGTGCATTGGTTGGCCAAGTGTGATTCCTTAAATCCCTGCTGCGTTTCTCGAATCCAGTCCTGGATTAGGAGATGAACCCGTCTTTAAAACCAGTGATCTCGATGAAAAGGCGTAATTAGAATAAGAACCTGGACGTAAAGACGAGCGTTCCAATCCTTGGTGTTAGAAACATTGCATTTAAGGAGATCCTTCCTGTGTTTAGCAACGAATGGATTGCCTTTCCAGTAAGCATAAGGATCTCTGCCTATCCATTTAGTCCTTTTGTTGCCTTGATCCAGGTCCTTCAATAAAGACTCCCATGGTTTGATGTTAATTTCGGGCCTGCAGCAAAGATTTACGATCAACTTTTGGTGATACCCTTCTTGATTAAGCCTCGGTTCGAGGGATAGAGAAGACTTACCAACCCCAGAAGGACCAATCACGGAAAAGAATGTCGAAAGTGTCATCATCGCCACAGTATCGAAACAATGGCGGTGGAGCAACCAACAGATGGTCTTTCTTTTCAACGAGTGGATAATCGAAGCAGTCGAAGATAAGGTCTAAATCTGGCACTTTTCCAGGGTACCTCCTTAGCAACTGTAGGAAGCCCCACAGAGTGAAAAGGTCTCTAGTTTGGGGTGGTTTTTTATACCTTTCGACGTAAGCCCTTCCCTTCAATATCACCAAACGAAAACTGGCTTTACTCTTGGCGCGCTCCACCATCTCCTCCGTTATCCCAGTCTCTGTCCATGGCCTTAGATCTTCATGAATCCAATGGAAGAATTCTGGACAGGTTACTGATTTGTATTTCTGATGGTGAATTTGGAATGTTTTTGGGTAATAATGAAGAGGGCACGTTTGAGTGAGATTGAGCGGGGAGCAATTCAGTGGAAATTCGGTTTTGTGGCGATGAATTGAAGCCTCGGAAATCTGAGTTACTGGCTGCCATGAAAGAGCAATCAGAACTCGAATCGTTAAAACATAAAGCAAAAACGAGTGGAAAAAGAAGAAGGAAGGAGAATCACTGAATGAAAGAAGCGAGTGGAAAGGAGCATGAAGATGAAGAAGCAAACGGCAAGGAAGAGGTGGCGAACAGATCTAACTCCCAAAATCGAACTGCTATTCCTCCTATCATTCATCAGCTGTTGCATCTTGTATGAATTTGCTTCCAAATCTAAACAAAAGACGATGGAATTCTGTTAAACTGATCCTGCAAAACAAAAGAGAAGTGAATCAGATTGAATTGGAAGGGAGAGTATGGAGAAAGTAAAACAGCAATGGCGGAATGGAGGTGTAAAAGACGTAACCTCCTTAAAGAGGCAAGCGAATCCCTCCCTCCATCCCCTGCCATTGCCAAATACCAACTCAGGGGCCATTTACTAAACACTACCGGATAAATTTTTTTATCGAATGAACATGAGAAGGGTCAATAATCTTATCGGGTAAGAGTAATGAGATTGATAGAGAGTCTTACCTGGTAAGTGAGACTGACGACTCTTACCTAGATAAGCGCTTACCTAGTAAATTGTTGCATTCGATATGTTTTGATGTACTAAAATCTTACGCATATCAAAATAAATCATAGTGTTGAGTCCTATCGATAAGTGCTTACCGAGTAAGCAATTGGGTAAACGGCTCCCTTAATATCAATTTCACATAAATGTATGCATTTCTTCTTTCTTTTCTGTTTTTGTTTATATTATGGTATCGACAACTTAACTATGGGTTTATAGCATCCATGTATGACCAATGTTCTAAACGGCGTGGCATGAAAGCGAAGTCAAGACTTGGTGTTTAATGCATGACGCAAAGCAATGAATTTTTGTATCATTTGTAAATATTCTCTAATGTTACTCGATTTAAGACTGCATGTGTACAAGTAGGTTATGACGAAAGATCGTGTGAGAATAGGAGTTAAAAGTGAGAAGTGTAAGAAGAGATTTGGACACTTGATCACTTTTAATCTCAAAATAACCCGTGAATTGTGCTGTGGAAAAGAATTGATCTAATGGTTCTTTTCAATTAGGATTGATTCAATGAAGATCTCTTCTCACCATAATTTTCATTATCACCGGAACCCAACCTAGTAGATTAGAATAAATTACTAAAAAATAAAATGTAAAACACAAAAAGATAAAAGAAAAAAGTAAAAAAGAAGCAAATACCGTCTTATAAAAAACCATATATCGGATTATAGCGTGTCATATGCAACAATTTACCTGGTAAGCGTTTTACCATGGTAAGAGTCGCCGTCTTCATTTACCGGGTAAGACTCATGGTTCATGTTTCGCTCTTACCAGGTAAGATTATTTATCCTTACCATATTCATCCGGTGAGGTAATGTCACTTGATAAATGCTTACTCGGGTAAACGTTTGGTAAACGATCCCTTAGTGAATATATTTGATAAAGAAAATCATTCCAAAAAAATCATTCTAATGAATACTTGATAAAAGAAATGTGAATATATGATTTTTTTGATGATATAACATTGATGAAATAAATACATAAATAACATCAAACAAAACCTTAAAACATTATCGAATTGCAGTCCTCGACGAAACTACACCGTATCAATTTATGAACTTTTGTCAATAAATTATAATTGATCTTATTCAAATATATTAATATTTTTTTTTTGTTAAAACGTATTTATACTTTAAAAATGCTTAATTGGGATAACAGAACAAGATCACCAACAATTTGACACATGATTTTAATTTGCTTATTTGTTATGTCATTTTATTAAAATATTATAAAACATTTGATAAAAATTCTTAAAAACCATTTTTTATGTATAAAGTATTGTTTATTGATGCATACTACTTAAACTTCAAAATTACAAGTAGATTATGCATAAGTACAACCTATTAAAATATTATAAAACATTTGATAAAAATTCTTAAAAACTATTTTTTATGTATAAAGTATTGTTTATTGATGAATACTACTTAAAATTCAAAATTACAAGTAGATTGTGCATAAGTACAACCTATTAAAGCTCTATGACTAAATTTGTGTAACTAACTGTAAATAAATATAATCAAATACATGATAAGCATCTCATTTTAAATATAAATTTTTTAAATATAATTGAAATAATCATTGAGTTTTAACATAATATTTGATTATTATTTTTATAAAAAACTATATTGTTAATAAAAAATAAATTACTTCATTAATAAAAATTTGAATCAAGAAAATTACACACAAAAAAACAAGAATTTTTATATAGTTAATTTAATACTAATATCGATATAATTTTTTCAACTTTGTATAATATCTTCAAATTTATATTTTATTCAAAAATAAAAACATTATCGTATTCTCAAAACCACATAAAAACATATTATATTGATAAAGATAAAGAATAAAACGAAACATTAAAATTGAAATGTATCTCACTGTATTATGCAAATACCTTTCTGAACTAACTAATATTATTCATGCACTTCTATTTGAAATTTTACGTCGGATAAAAGAACATGTTTTTGACCGGTATTAATATAAATAAGACAAATTGAATATTCAAATTTCAATTTTTAGTCGATAATTGACCAAAATAAATACATTTTTTTATATATTTTTAAAATAACATAAAAATTATTCATTTAAAATTGGCTATATAGTATGACTAGAAGAAATGTATACTTTTTCGCTGGTTTTCAACGATGAGCATTCAAATTCAATTTCTTTTTGTTGTACGATATTTTGACTTAAAAGATACGTATAATATTCTTTTTTTCTTTTCAAAAATTATAAAGTCTTGTTTGGTTTGAAGGAATGAATTTGAGAAGATTTGCATTTCAAATGCATTCCGATCTCATGTTTGGTTTGTTGGATTGTCCGGATTTGAAATCTTGGGATTTCATTGAAATTCTTCAGATATAGGTTTTAAAATCCTTAGGGAATGCTCGGTATTTTACGGGATCTTGTAAGATTGTATGCAATAAAGTTTTTAAAAAAATTAAAATATTCATTTTGTAATAATCGATTAATAAAAATGTAATTCAATTATTTTAAAATTTTTCTATAAATTATTTATAAATAATGAAATCTAATTTCATTCCAAATCTTATAAACCAAAAACATCTAGAATTTCAAATCCATTCCAATCCAAATTTCTCCATTAAATTTAAATCCCTCAAAAACAATCTTGCAAGCCAAACAGATCCTAAAGGATTGTTTGGCAGTTACTGAATGGTTTGGTACAGAATGATTAAGAGACTCTCATGATATAGTGCAAAATGAAATATAATTATTTGCTAATTATTTAAAACAAAATTAGAATGCGGAATGATTAAGAGAGGTCAAGGATACAAAACCATCCGGAGGGTTTTGGAACCATTAAGAAACAGACTTTTTTTACCAAACAAGATTCACCTCTTAACGATTCAGATGTTGCCTCTTAATAGAACTATTAAGACTGTTGATTTTTGGTTGTCTAAAATAATTTGCAATATCTTCGATTTTGGAGGAAAATAAATTCTATTGACTTGTTAACAATCATTCATGATATCTGTTAAGTACAATTTGTAGTTCACAAGTTTTTTCAATTTTATCGTATCAAATTATTTTATAAGTTTTTAATTTTCAGATAAATAAGATTAATATTCCAATTTAAATATTACATTATTTTTTTACAGAAAAGAAATATATACATTTGAGTGTTTGTTAATATCTTTTAATAAGAACTAAGTTAAAAAAACTAGAGTGAATTACATGTTTTATCTTCGTAGTTATTTGTTTTTAACGGTTATTATCCTGCTTTTTTTAAATTTAACAGATCGTGTCTCCATGATTACATTTTTACAACGAGTTGGGTCCTTAATACAACTACAGGAACCCAGGTCGTTGATTTATTTAGGGGTTGTTTGGCAATTACTGAATGATTTGGTGCAGAATGATCAAATGGTCAAAATAATTAAGAGGCTCTCATAATATAGTGCAAAATAAAATATAATTGTTTGGTAATTGTATACAATGAAATTAGGGCTTTTAATGATTAAGGGAGATCCAGGATACAAAATCATTCAGAGGGTTTTAGAACCATTAAGAAGCAGACTTTTTGTTTGTCAAACAAGATTCATCTCTTAACGGTTCAGATGTTACCTCTTAATTGAAATATTAAGAGGTAAACAAACAACCCCTTAGAGACCAAACTCGTTAAGATTGCAACTAGTTGTATGTAGCTCGTTAAAAATTCAACAACAAAGACAAAATACCATTGAATTTCCAAAAAAAAAGGACAATGATCATTAAAAACATCTGACCCCGAAGTTACTCAAAGTTATCAACCAAAACTTAAAGGTATTAATATCAAATAAATCATTATTATTGCTCATGATTTGAGTTATGAATTCGAGTTGAAAACCTATCAAAATAATGTTGACTATTTTAAACAACAGAAAAACGCCTTATACTTTTACGAGCCTTAAACCATACTATTTAATATACATATAAAGAAATAGTTGAGTGGATAATAAATCTGATTATTTTCGTCAAGACGTAAAAGAAAATCTCGAACAATTTTTTTAAAACAAACTATCATATTTTATTATGGGTTTATTTTTAATTCTAATCTTGTAATTTATTGGATTGAAAATTAAAAAGAAAAAAGAAAACATATAGGGGTTGTTTGTTTACCTCTTAATCATTAAAAGATGAATCTCGTTTGGCAAAAAAAAATCTGCCTCTTAATAGTTCTAAAACTCTCTGAATGATTTTGTATCATGAGTCTCCCTTAATCATTCAGCTCCCTAGTTTCATTGTAAACAATTACCGAACAGTTATATTTCATTTTGCACTGTATCATGATCGTCTCTTAATCATTCTGACTACTTAATCATTTTGTACCAAACCATTCAGCGACTGTCAAACGCACCCTTAATTTGATGTAAATTTAGATGATTAATTGGTAATTTGGTATTAAGTATTGACTAATGACTATTAACCATTCAGCCCATTGGTTATGAAAGCTTGCACTTGGACCGGTCCAACTCCAATAACTTTTCATTTACATTTTAATTTTGATTGGAATGGAAGAAGTTGAAATTCAAAGTCATTATGAGACGTTATAATTAGTGGTGAATTTGGAAAAAAAAAAATTAAAGTCAATTAAGATCAATAAAGTTGTATTTTAATTTCGGAAAAAGTCAACATGACCTGAAAAAAATTCGGTTGTGTTAATCTGAGACAATACAGTTTACAAATAGAATCAACCATGACTTTTGACTTTGAGCAAGATTACATCTTATCGTGACATGTTTTGGGTCGAATTCCACTTTTACGAGCGACTTTTTTAGGTTTTCTAGTTGATTTCGTGATGGACAGCAGATGCAACAACAAAAAGTAGTCGAATTCCACAATTTATAAACATGTTTGACGGCATCATATACTGTGAGATAATAACTTATTTCAGATAAATATGTTTTATTATTAAAATCTATTAAAAAAAACAACTTTAAGAATAATGGATAAACTAGAAGAAAAAAATAAATAAAAAATAAATAAAAGTAAGATAGGGACAATTATAAATCAAACACAGTGTAGAGTTTTGTTTTAAACAATAATTGAACTCGTGAGCGAGCTTAGTAAAGAAAAGGAATGCCCCAACCGTTCCAACTACCTCAACATTTTTATTTTAAGTTCAGTTTTATAAAAATACAAGAGCACCCTTCAAAATTAAACGGGTGTACAATTATATCCGATAAAAAAAAATTCATCACGACGGGACGATTGGACAGGTGCCCGTGCGACGTACACCCCCTACTCTCTTAATAGGTTCGTCCTTGATTATCATTTGGAAGAAAGAAGAATGCTCAAAGCAATAAAGCCAAGCAGGCAAACCCACCGAGCCATGACCCTACCTGGTCCACTCTCATTACTCTTCCTTCTACAAGTACCTGACATATATCGTCAACCAATGTTACTATGACACGCCATCAAAAGACGATGAAGCACACTGCGATCTCCATGCCTTCTTTCACGCCCCATCGGTTTGCTCGCTCACCATTGAATACCATGAAGTCGTGGCCTCACTCGACCCTCGTGCTTCCTCACTCAAATTTTTGCTGTTTGTTATTAGTTTATATTTAGTAAAATATGAATATGTATGTCGACGACATCATATAAATTATCTTTCTGATGTTATTTTAAATTTGTAGTAAAAAAGTTTATGAAAAAGAACAAAATTATATAATTATATTATAAAATTTTAAACATAAAATATTTGAAACTTTCGATTTTTAAAAACGTTCCACGGTTACATTATTATATTTCATTTATACTTTTTATAATACAAAAAGAACTCTAACTTTCGTTTAACAACAAAAGAACACATTTAATAAGATTTACGGTTTCCTTTCGAGACGTTGGTTTTGATTCCCCAAAAACCATTTAAAGGGTTTTTTAGTGTTGACTTTTAGGAGTTGTTTGTTTACCTCTTAATAGTTCCATTAAAAGGCAGCCTCTAAATCGTTAAGAAGTGAATTTTGTTTGACAAAAGAAAATTATGCCTCTTAATGTTTTTAAAACCCCTAATTGATCTTGTATCATAGGTTTTCCTTAACCATTCAACGCCCTAATTTCATTATGAACAATTATATTTTATTTTATACTGTATCATGAGAGCCTCTTAATCATTATCTATCAAATCATTCAGCAACTGTCAAACAACCCCTTAGACTCTAAGAATAAGTTATGAAATGGACATATTTACAACCAACTTATTTCAATATACTTACATAAATCATTAGTAACGACTGATTTAAATGTCTTAACATTTTCCGCGACAAAATTCTTTTCATGGTTCTCGTATTACACACCAAATTATACAGTACTGTCAAAGTTCTTGTAACCATAGAGGTTCCCTGTAATGATTCTAGATTCTCTGTGGTCGTCTGAGCAATTAGTCAGTGCACATAAGTTGGTCTAGAAACCCACAGTTACTAAAAAAAGAAATAATTAGTTATATTGATTGATTTGTTTAAAATGAAAAGAGAATTGAAATACAGAATAGTTTTGATGACGGTGAGTTGATTGTCCCTTTATATACCACTTGTAACATGATGAAAATAAAAAGAATCTTCTTATCGCTGATCTAACCGACCAAACCACTTACCACCTCATGACAAGCTTCTGCACATATTGCTTTACAACTTTCATTAAGATCACCACTACCCAAATAAATCCCTTTTTTCATATATATATATATATATATATATATATATATATATATATATATATATTAGACTGGACACTACTACATTAGATGGGTGAGAATGAGTTAGACATGTGAAAAAAATTGGATGGTTTTAGGGTTTTAATTTGGTATATGTAATTTATCAATTTTATCTATTATTCTGATTTTTTGCTCCACTTATTTTGAACCACTCATATCTTATTATGTCTCAGTCTAATGTTATATCAAACATGGAACAATAAGTTTACGTATTGCCATGTCTCTCATACCAAACCACACCCACTTGTCTCTATAACATACGATTTTACCTTCTCATGATTTATGAGATTAATACAATGGAAAATAACCTTCACAGTGTTTTTATTGTAAATGTTCTGTTTTTCCTACCTTCATAGCATTTTGCTGTAAAACTTTAAATGTAAAAAAGTGATTTTACGAAAATAGGCTGATCAAGGAATGGAAATACAAATTGAAGTCGACAAAGAAAATGGGTTATGAAAATCATGTTTAAAGTGGTACTATAATAAATGCAAAATGTATAAGTACAACTAACAATGCACAAGGTACAAGTCGTAATCAATCAGCATGACTAGATACGTTGTACGGCTGTAGTCACACCGCACGCATACCATCAATATAAAACACCAAAAAGATGATCAATAACCATTTCCTTTCTCTGTTTCTTTCTTTCACACTAAATTCCCCCCACCTTCTTCTTCTTCTTCTTCCATGGCTCAGGTAATAATAATTTCTTCATTTTTCATGGATTTTTTTTAAATTTTCTTGATTTCCTGCATGTTTTTATGTATATCATCTCTGATGAGCAGAAGGTGATACTCAAGGTTCTCACAATGACTGATGACAAAACCAAGCAAAAAGCCATTGAAGCTGCTGCTGATATCTATGGTACACTACTACAACTCTAACCTTCTAAATCTGACCCTTTTTCCGGATCAAATCGAAACGGGAAAATGGGATTCGTATACGAGAGAATTGAGATGAACAGATGAATCTTACATACAGGGGTGGATTCGATTGCGGCTGATCTGAAAGATCAGAAGCTGACGGTGATTGGGGAGATGGACACGGTGGCAGTCGTCAAGAAGCTCAAGAAAGTAGGCAAGGTGGACATAATATCAGTTGGTCCAGCCAAAGAACCTGAGAAGAAAGAAGAAAAGAAAGAGGAGAAGAAAGAAGAGAAGAAAGAGGAGAAGAAAGAAGAGAAGAAAGAGGAGAAGAAAGAAGAGAAGAAATGAACAACTATTTTAGATTCATGATTATCATATATTTACGTTCTATAAATCAAATAAATTCCTTCAAAAAAGATGTTCTTTTTCAAATCGGTGAAACGGGTGAGACTCGAAACGAAGCGAATCGAGTCATGGGCAGATCTCCTGGCTGGGATCATGGTGGCATCTGCAATGGCAAAGATGCCTTTTAGATTCAAGATTCTCATTGAGAGATGATGAAACTCCATATGCACATTACTTAGCTTCATCTGCAAGCACTCAACTGTACCACCAAATAAAATCATATCTTGAATTCTATTTGATTATTATTTATTTGTTCTTTTTCCTCTTGTGGGGTCTTCTGGTCTTTAACTTTCATCTTCTCAATTCGATTTCACCAACTAATGTCAACATAGTAACACAATTTGCTGCTTTTGTCTCACATGTAACAAACCCACAAAAATTTTCAGCAGGGTCGTTGATTTAACATGAAAGATTTGATCTTTAGTCATTTTTCTGCGGTGATACGCCTTTTTGTCGAGAGCATACAGTAAAAACGGACATTCTAACTAAACTGTTTGTGAATTCTCAAATGCAAGCTTGAGATTCTCGTCCTAATTCCTAAACCCTTAACCCTAAATGAATTACAAACCTCAGAAGTGTCCCTACAGTTTGAAGTTCCATCTGACATTTCAGTGGATTACGGAAAGTACGGTCAATATGTGGATGGTAAAAGTTTCATCATCTTGATATGGGTTTCTGGATCTTTGTAGAAAAGACTAAAGGATACGGAGAAGTTTAATGCGTGTTAAACCTAACAAATTTGGTGGTGGTGGACCATATGAGACGAGTTAAGGGGTGTCTGTTCTGCAACTAATCCCACCACCAAAGACCAAATGTAACAAATACAGCCTATAGAGAAGTAATCAGAATATATATAAACATATACCCATATCTATTGATTCCTCTAATTGAATCCCTTTTGATGGTGACTTATCTAAGCAACGATGACAACATGATCCATGCATAAAGTCAAATATAGTATTAAATACTCTTATCTTTGTCCCATACATGTATGCAATCGTTTCATTTTCAGCCAAATGTCTAAACAACATTTCAATAGTCACCGAACAATAATTTGTAGTTACTCAAAAATCCATGTTTTCATATATATCCATATCCAATATAACAAGATAATAATGAATAATAGATATCTTTGATAAATAAATAAATATGATTATGTTCGCTCCGTTTGCACCCCTAAAGACAAAAGCGTAATTATATCACTTTAGCTTTAATTTTTTGCCAAAAAAAGAAATATTGCAGCTTCATGGGACAAAGGGAGTACTTGTTTTAAGAAACATAACTACATAAGCAAACACAAATACATAATTTGCAATCTTCCAACATTTCCACCATGCGTAAAGACCGTCTTTCTTACCAAGAGAAGCAGATGCGTAAAAGGCGAAGAAACACTAGCGAATTGGGTAGTTGGACCTGTGAATCCTGTAGACCCCCCATGCCTCCGCCAAACTGCAGACTGTGCAAAGGCGATAAGTCGTCGTTGAGCTTATAACGAGATGTAATAACATATAAGAAAAAGGGTATGGAATTAGAAAACGCTTACATAAAATAAGAGGCATACGCTTGAACTGTTGAATATATCTTGAATTTGCACTGCTGCACTTAGATGATCAAGGGATCTACTGTAAACCAGTGGCTTCTAATTTCTGCAATAAGATTGTTACCAATAAACTAAAGACCGAGGGATTAACCACCATAGATAATTGAAAGAGAAATGTAGTCTGTTTCTATTTGCCTACCCAACTCGAATCAACTTACAACTATTCCATCGTAGTGTTACTAAAGGCGAAAGATGCACCTGGGCCGGGGTGAGCCTCTCCAAAGTATGGTGCATGAGTTGAAAAATAAATTTAAAAATAAAAATATATAAATAAGGGATGTGAAGAGGCATGTATACTTGATATTTAATTTAATAAAGTGTCCTTAACATGACTTAACAACCACAATAACTATATATTATATGTGAAGTTATTGATGTTCTATTGAAGAATCATCAATTAACAATATAACAATAAGACAACATCAGTTAACCACTAACATCCCTTTACTGTTCTTCAATTAAATAATCATCGATCAGCGTTAACATGATATTAACCTTGTGCCCATGATCAGAATCATTAAATAGAAGAGATGAGAGTTTGCAGACATAAAAAGGCATAGTAGAGCAGAAAAGAGGAAATAAGGAGAATTCAATGGTTAAGTTGGATCAAATTAAGGTAGCCAATGAAGTTAGTTTTGACACATTTAATGCATTGATATAAGGAGAATTCAATGGTTAAGTTGGATCAAATTAAGGTAGCCAATGAAGTTAGTTTTGACACATTTAATGCATCGATATCTGTGTACGCCAATTGTCGTTAACAGCAAAGATGGATCATGCGGTAAGAGGTCAGATAACAAAGCACTACTTGTAATGGATCATGCGGTAAGAGGTCAGATAACAAAGCACTACTTGTAGAAACAAGTAACAGGGGATATTCAGTGATAATACATCCAACCTCACCAAAGGAGAGGCGTGTGTGTGAGTTTCATCTGCTGTATATAAACATTATATTCTTTAGAAAATTTGTGGAGGAACTCAGAATAGTCCACATACATTGGCTGAGTGGAGTATTGTATAATCTAAAAAATATAGTCAAGTATGATTGTGCAATGAGCATGATTTAGCTTTTTATGCTTTTAAACTATGTTGTTACAGCCGTCAAACTACGAAATCATGGTCAAGACCGTGATTTGGAATAGCGGTTATCGCGATGGTAAAACTTATATATAATAATTTGAGCTATATTATATATATGTATACATAACTCAATATACTATATGCACGTATCCAATAAAAAATATATAAGAATAATGATGTCCAAGTTCAAAAAAAGAATAAGTGAACACTGTGAATACTTTTATCCAAAGCCAGATGTCAAAGTGATGGTGTCCAAATTGAAAAAAAAAATAAGAATAATGGTGTGCAAGTCCAAAAAAATAAAGAGTAATGAAGCCTTAATATTGTCGGACTAAAATAAAACCCAATGCCGGTCCAAAATAAAAGCCCACAAAAGTACTTTTTAACACCAAAACAGCCTATCTACAAATAACGGTTATGCGGCCACTTTTTTACTTTCAAAATGGGGTCATTTAGCGGTCAATAGCACCGCTAATATTGGTACCACTCTTTGACCACCGCTGCACGATTAACAGCATAGCTTTTAAATTGTATAATATTACTTTTATATATAAAAAAAACGAGCATATCAATGAGCATACAATGTTTTCCATATACAAAACATCACTAGGAGGATCAAAAGGTCTTATAAATATTTCAATTCTTAAAGGGAGTGAGGTAGCAATTAAAAAAAGGAACAATTAGCTTCAGCAAATAGAGGGTGTTAGTGGCAAACCTTCAGGAAGTTCCAGTATTGCCATGGCCTCCAGCGCTGCTATCAAGTGCACAAATAAATTATACAGAGAGATTGCTATTGAATCTGTACAAAACATTGACAGCCAAAAGAGAAGGAAATATAAAACAACTTAAGATACACCGCCTCATGGTATTCAACAGCAATGGCAGGCTCAGTCAGCATAGTCAAACCCCCAAAAGAGAGAGGCGTAGCAGATAAAAATGATTTAGAAACTGTAGATGTAAAAATGGCAGTTTTTATATCTTTTTATATGTCAAGTAAGAACAATCATGAAGTGTGAAAAATGAAACATAACTATGCAACTAGTAGAAAATGTTATTACAACACAGATGCCTCAAAACATCTGAAACCAACCGAGCTGAACTAAAGAGCAGTTATACAATCAGGTGCCTTAAATTACAGGGCTTACCACATTAGCATCTCCTATATCTCTTTATCTTGTGAACGAGATGTGCATACTTCCCCTTTTCGACCATCTTTTTTATTACCTCATGAGCTTCAGAAAGCTTCCCAGCATTCCTCAGATAGCTTACTAGTGTACAGTACACAAGAAAATTGGGATTACACCCTCTAGATTCCATTTCTTTAAGCATCAAACATGCATATTCAAACTTTTCAGCCATACAAAGGCCACGTATCATTGCATTGTATGTATAAACGTTAGGAATCTTCCCATTGTCGAACATTTCTGAAAACATTTCCTCTGCCTTCTCAAATTGTCTGACTGCAATATGTCCTGTGATCATGACGGTGTAAGACACCACATCAGGCTCACAACCCTGCTTGATCATTTCGTCAAAAAAGTACTTGCAAGCATCCATATTTCCAGCTCGGCTTAGCCCATCTATCAATGTGGTGAAATGAAGAACATTAGGCTCAATACCAACATCCTTCATGTGGTTCAAGAGATCAACGGCTGCTGCTGGCTTATCTCCTTTACCAAGAATGTGAAGAAGGATGTTGAATGTATGAAAATCTGGAGGAAATCCACTCCTGCCCATTTCATCTAGTAATCTATGAAACTGACCCAACTTCCCCAGCCTATACTTTGTATACATTAGGATATTATATGTAAAAGCATCCGGTTGATGACCATCAGCCAACATCTGTTGGTACACCCACTCAATCAGTTTATACTGGTTTACAGCAAGAAGAGAATGCAAGATAGCGTTAAAGGAATGACTAAAGGGGCGAAAATTGAATGATTTTGACTTTATAAATCTCTCTACAACTTTCTTAGCTACACCGGCCTCGCCACATGTACATATCAGTATGTTGAAAGTACATGAGGTGACCGGATATCCTTTCTCAGTCATCTCATCAACCAACCTCCACATTGCTTTGTATTCCTCGGATTCTGAAAAGATTTGCATAATTAAATGATAGGTATGTACCGTATGATTGTAATTCTGTTTCTGGCCAGACCATACAAAGAATTTGTACCCAAGTTTAGCACACCGATCCTTGTTCGCATGATTAATGTTCTTCAAGATTCCTATAAGAACTTCTCTCACAAGTAGGCCTGATACTTGTATTTCCAACTTATCTAAAGCCGTTTTTGCATCAAAACCAGGGCCATCCTGTTGGAGAACTTTGAGGGCCATGGCAGCACCAACTTTTGCATTTCTTAAAAAACTTGCTCTATTAAATACATTTTGTTGGTGATCTTCATCTTCCTCATATCTGCCACTGGTACCAACAGAATCAATAGACTCTTCATGGTTTTCATTCAACACAAAATTACCATTTGAACTTTTTTGACACCCAGTTAAGTATTTCTCAATTCGTCGAAACCCATCACTAAATCCATTACCATTACTACATAAGGAGCGTGAAATGCCGCAATAACAAGAGATCCCCTGAACAACTTTGTGACCAATTTGAGCAATAGAGAACATGCAAAGAGCCAAGCTTATGCTTTTGTTAATCGAGTCAAATCGACCCCCGATTAACTTTGACAATACCTATGTGACGATTTGAATAGAATATGGTTTAGATATGAGAATTCCCTAAAAGCAACATTTGAGCAGTGGAGGTGTTGAGGAATTGAAGAATTTTATACAGACAAATCAACCTTCAAGTACCTGGTAGTAGAATAAACGTGTTGCTTTGATCCCGGTGCCAGCAGAAGACGATGGATAAAAGGGGGGAAATGGTGGTGCGGAGAAATCTGAATGGGAAGGTGGGTTTTGAGGCGACGGCGGAGGACGGTGGATAGTAGTGGTGGTGAGCAACAGGGTTTATCAGCGATAGCGGCGGAGAGAGGGTAGGGCGGACGCCGGAAGGTGTTGAAAAGGGTAAAGAGGGTACCTGGTGCCTCCTTGTTGCGAGATCTAAGAGGAGGAAGCCCGTCCCTCGCTGAATAAATAATTTTCTTTTATGAAATAATGGTACCAAACATACATGAATCATTCAAAATTTCAAATACCAACATAGTGTTATAAATTTTCATATTGATGATTAAACTTTTTATATATATATATATATATGTTTATGTGTATTGACTAATTTCTTTTAAGACCTAATATTATCATAGCGTAAAAATCCTATATTTTTCTTGGTTAACCGCCTTTGTGGCACTAGTGGTACACAGAAGTCATGGGTGATCATTGGTCCGATGCTTCGGAAAATCATTCCCATCCATCCGGACTTTGAAAGCTAGGGTTGTCTGCTTTGTCTATCGACTTGTCAAGACTGCCCGTTGATTTACTTAGCTTACATGATGGTTGTTGCTCACCGTTATTCGATGCATGATTTCCGTCTGCTTTGTAGGCTGGGTGGAGCTGGATATCGTGTTCTTGCAAGGCTAGACCATAGGCGCCCGAGGCGGTATTCCCGTCTTGGGGTTATGGGGCTAAAATTGCTCTCTCCTTCTTACCCGCTTGATTTCTGGTTGGGTAAGGGACGACCACTCAGTCCAGAAGCTCATGGGCGTTTGGTGAGACTCCTTCGAGCCAAACTTAAGCCCCGGGAGCTGGTATTGCCTCCCGATGAGCTGTTCGAGACTGAGGAATCTAGAGATTTCCTGATTTGAACACAGTAAATATGTGATTATTTCTATTACATCCCTTTGACATTAAGGAGTTGTTAACGAGGCTGTTTGGTAGTTGTTGAATGGTTTAATGCAACATGATTAAGTGATCAGAATGATTAAGAGACTCTCATGATATAATGCAAAATGAAATATAATTGTTTGGTAATTGTTTAAAATGAAATTAAGGCGCTGAATGATATTAAGGAAGGCTCATGCTGCAAAATCATTTAGAGGATTTTAAAATCATTAAGAGGCAGACTTTTTTTTTACCAAACAAGATTCACCTCTTAACGATTCAAATGTTGTCGCTTATTGGAATTATTAAGAGGTAAACAAACAACCCTTGCTGAATGGTTGATATAGTGCAAAATGAAATATAATTGTTTACAATGAAATTATAGTGCTGAATGGTTAAAGGGAGACCTAGGATGCAAAATCATTCAGAGACAGATTTTTTTTGGCAAACAAAAAATCCATCTCTTAACGATTCAGAGACTGTCTTTTAATGAAACTATTAAGAGGTAAACAAACAACCACTAAGGTTTTATGTCTTCATGTTGTGAAATTTTGACTTCTAGCCAATATGATTGGTTAGGAGTTGCGAAAATGTGTAGCGATTCAAGTCCATATATTAGCTTTGATGATTTTTAAATCTACTTATAACTAATCAGAGAAGTTAATGATAGTTCACAATTTAAAGTTTTCAAAGAGTTCGTAAATATAACTATCTGATTCTCACAATTTCATTTATTTAAACTTTCCTTGTCAAACTTACCTAACATCCTTCTTCTTCATCAAAGATCTTGGATTCGCTTAAGACGTTACAAACACTCCCACTGACTCATCGTTCTTATTGAGGTTTACCCCACCATCAGGGGTAGCTCCAATACCATTTTGTGAAACCCAAGTTATAGTGATACTGTTCATTTTGACCATAAGTATGGACTCAAGCTCGTGGTTTTAAAGACGCCACATTAGTTGGATTCAATCCATACCTATGTGGGACAATTGTTACAACATTATCTTGTTGTGCATTCACATGAAACTTCGTATGTGTTTTATTGACTTTAGACTTTATGATTCCTACTTTTTAGTCGTAGTTTATTAGTATAGTTTTGTTGTAAGAACTCTTTAAAGTAAATAATAAATAATGACAAATTATATAATCCAAACTAGCACAAGCTTGTGCATATATTCTTGTTCAATGTTTTCACTTTGAAGCGCTTTTACCAGTGCACGTTATGAATCTAAATGGCATGTACTTTCATTCACTTGCGATTTACGAAACATACTTTCAAAACACACTTTTAACGGTCCATAGTTTTAAAAAATATCTATTTAAAGGTGTATAATCTGACGCTAAGTCCATTTGAGAAAGATACTTTCAAATTGCACATCAAAGTATACTCTTAAATAGAATAAAGCATGTCTTTTGAAAGTGCAATTGAATAAAGTATCTTTTTAACACTACCAACAAATAGATTCATCTCATTGTCTCTACAACAACCCTAACACGACCTTTCTTGCAAGGACGTTTAGGGATTATTCGGTTGATTTTCTATGAAGCTCTATATAGATAAAGTTATTTGTATTAATTTAACTAAATTGGTGTTCGATTGTTGTGCTGAATAAACAGTCTGAATAATATAAATGACTAATTTACCCTTTAGTTTATATTAAACAATATTTGTAGATAAAATTTTACAATATAACAACAATATCTGCAACAATTTTAAAGAAAAATGTAGATCAAACAAGAACAAGAAAATTGTAAGAACTTTATAGGTGGTTCTTATCTTTCTATGACCCCCAGAATAAGAAGTATGAGGATATGCAGAGAAAGAGCTCTTGTAGAAAAGTCATCGATCAGCAAAATTTTTTGTAGATCAATCATATTACATGGAACACTCATAGCAAGAACAACAAGCAAATCAAATGTAACCAGTTGTTGAATCAAATTAAACCAAAATTTAAAAAAAGCCCAACATCGATGAACCCTAAATAATAATAAACCCCCCCCCCCCCCAAGTGGGGTTAGAACCATATTCACGAGGAGGTGATGTATAAAGCATTTGAATCTCTTATGCCATGTGTAAATGATCTGGATCTCTCCTTCTCGTTTGAATCTCTCTGCTAATAATGAATTGCCTTCTATGCGTAAAGCATTTGAATCTCTCCTTCATAGACAATTCCTATTGCTTTGCGAGTTGCGAGTTGCGAGTTGCAAGTTGACGTTTCTTGAAGGAAGGAATTATCAAGGCTTTTCTAGTGCAACGAGATTGGGAGATTCTTTGAGGGATTTCTTCTTCATATTTATGCGGCGGGTTTGGGAGATTCTTGAGGGATTTTTTAGAGTATTTTTTTTTCTTGAAGGGTTATGACAAGGATATGGATTGGAAAATATATGGCTGAGCGTAAATAAGACTTGTCATATGGTTAGCCGAATAAGCGGTCATCTGATTCATTAAGTCACAACCGAACAGTCTGTTAGTCGGGATTTCTTCCACTCATTTGCAAACACCACCTAAAATTTATCAAATGAACATAAAGAAATCAATCACATATTGTCATTCATAGATAAATTACACACAGTTATATTTTGATTGGTGTAACGCTCTGAAATTTGGAGTAGTTGGAAAGGATAGTCCATTTAAGGGTTATTGCTGTAGTAAGTGGAAGTAGAAGTATAGGGACTAATTAGCCATCAACTAAAAGTTGTGGACTTGATTGCAATTCTGGAAATAAAAATACAAATGAAGAAAATAGACGGATGTCAGGGTGAGGGACCAAACTCAAAACAAATTGCAAACATGGAGGTTTATCTTGTAATAGGTGAAGATAAAAGACTAAATCCGTCAAACATAAAAACCTCAGGGACCAAATCTGTAATTTACTCTTAGAATTAAAACCAAATATGCGCGAAAACATTCCGTTGGGTAGTATTAGAGACAACTGACCTCTGTGTGTGTAGTGTATCCACCATTCCATTCCCTCCGGCCAAACCAGACACCTCAGATTTCCACCCTCCGCCATGAGAACTCGCTTCTCCGCCGACTTCTTCAGCTCCTCCGCCTCATCGCAATCTTTGCAAACCCTAGATTTTCTCCGATTTCCACCTCCTCAGCTCTCTTCCCCTGATCTTTTCAACTTTGACAACCTCTCGTGTTTCGATCAAGTCACTTCTCTCTACATCTCTCCTCAAATCGAGAGGTTTTCCGTTAGTGAAGCTCTCAGTAAGTTCTTCTCCGACGTTCTTCCTCAAGATATAAATGCCGAGATTGATCAGCAAATAGCGAGGGAAGTAACGTCAGAGGTAATGAGCTCTAACTTCCAATCACTTTGTTCGGTCATCCATTATTATTACAGAGTACCTCTATGAGCACTTTATTTGTTTCTGATGGAGTTAATTTGCTTCTATTAATGAAACGTTTGTTATTCAGACCGAAGTTAGGTTTTGTGGATTCTGCAATATACCAATGCAGAATGTTTTCGAAACTCGTTTGCTTTGAATTCTGGTTTTAACGCATGCAGTAATCCGTACTGAAACCCTACTGATTTTTAGTTCTGTATATAGGTTTTTGAGTCTATAGTATATATCTGAATTCCAGGCAAAGAACTTAAAGTTTGGCAATCACAGGGTTATTATCTGACACTATCACTATTATGATACATTTTTTTTACTCTAGAAATTTAAAAGAGGTTAAGTATTGTATTGACAGTGCACACTAGTGATATGACTGTTTAACTTTATGATTGAAGTTTTCGGTTTGTTATATGAAAATTTTATTATTCAGTCAGTAATTACCATGTGAATTTTGGTGAAAGGATGTATGCAATAATGGTTTTAAATGTGTCCAGTTTGACTTTAAAAGATAACGAGTCACTTATTTTAAACTTTATAAATCAGTTCTGGTATAGAAAGATATGAGAAATATCATTTGATTTTATGGTATGCCAAGGTGCATGATTCCATACTCTAGAATTGGAATTCTATACACTGATGAACTAAATAGCTTGGATTTAATTCCAGACGTCGGATCTTGTGCTCCCTGGTGCTTAAGTTTTGTATAGCTTTTAAATACCTCCATTGTTGTCATTTAGTTTATATTTCTTTTTGAATTTAATGTGATGGGAGGGACCTGGAGTATCAACAATATCTGTACTACAAAGCTGGAGATATTAAATTCCCAATAGCATTGAGAGATTTCACATCTTATTATTCATTTCAATTCTTATATACAAGTCAGGCTTTTCACTCATGGTATTTGCTTGTGCAGAAGCAAATAGATGACAATTCAGATGGTGCTGCTAACAACAATTTTACAGTAGTTAAATTTGAAAGTCCAGAACTTTGTATATCTTTGGTAACCAACTGTTCTTCAAACACAATTAATTTGTATAATAAATACTTAACATGGAACTAGTCATGTACATTGTAATGATATATCTCGTTATCAGCTGAAGTCTGTCACCTGCAGGAAGATTCTTGCCTTTTGCATGAAGAGACGATGCAATTTTTCTTTGAAGTAGCAGATGCAGAAGTTTGTCCGGTACAAAGTTCAATTCATTTTTTTTCTCTGTTATACCATGTTAATCCATCAGCAAAGCTTTGAACCACAAGCGAGCAAAAGGAACACAGAAGGAACGGCAACATATCCCGCCATTGTTGTAATAAAGCAGTAGGACATCTGATTTTTTTAATGTAGCTTCCTTGGTATGGCTCTGAGAAGTCTGGCGTTAGAAACTTCTTTCAGCACTATAAAAAGATAAAATGTTGGGCAAACAGAGATGAAAGCATAAATTAATCGGAGGTGTCCACATTTATCTGCCATATTTGAGTTCACAACCAAATGTGTCTTTGAAACCCTGGAATTAGTATTCAATAGCAGTAGGCTGTCAGGATTTCTAATGAGTTGGGGGGGGACCCCCAAAGAGAGGATGTTCCTGGAGGCTAACATGTATTTAGATGGTAAATATACCATATATAAAGAGTTTTCTGTTTTCTGTAAATTGTAATATAGTTATGGATACACCAGGCACGTTGGACTGCGGCACCTGCTTTTCTGGTTTAAGAACCTTAAATAAAGCATAAGAAATAATGTAATAGGTATCATTCAGACCTTGATATTTTCATTTGTTAAGGTACTAGCGGCACATACAGAGTAACGTATAGCACCTCTTTATCCATTTTTCTTCCAAAAAGTCCTCTAGCACCTCTTTTATTCGTTTTTCTTCCAAAAAGTTGTACAGTCTCTTTTCTATTCATCTCTTGCAGAATTAGTTACCAATTTATCTGTGGCATAACTAGTTACCTAATGAGTTGGAGTTGGCACCTCAAAAGTCAAGATAACTTTCTTTGTATTGAAGATTTAGAGCCACTTCATTAATTAAGTTCAATCTTTTTTTGCAGGAGCTGCTTGATTTTTCACTTGAGGTGCAGCAACTGATGGATACTCATAAATCAATTTTCTCTGTAGAAGATTTTTGTTTAGAGTTCCAGGAAGAGCATGAGTCCGATGTCTTCGAAAATGGCAGTTTGGTTCAGGGCCAAATATCTTCCAAGCTTAGAACATATCCTCTCTTGGAAGTAGACGAGACAAGTCTGGGAATTAGCAGCTATATATCTAAGGACAAACATTTAATATTTGAAAGCAATGAACCCCAAAAGTGGATGCAAAAAGATGAATCAACATGCGATGCCAAGGAGCTTTTGCTTTCCATGGAATTCGACATATGGGAACATTTCTTAAATCACTCTCTGGTTCCATATCTTAAATTTGAAATACCATGCGGAAACTTTGCTCCCGAGGTGGACTTAAGAAATGCATTAGAATATTCAATGACTGATGGTAAACAAGAGTCTCATTGTGAGTTAGTGGATGGGTTTTCCTCTCTGACATTGAGCCCATTTGCATTCGAGCAATTGCAATTTTTTGATACAAAGACCTCACATTGTTCAGAAATGTTCTTTGACACTGAAATTATAAGTGATGTAGAATATTGTGAACAGATGTTTGGTGACACAACCTTAAGCACTTTTAACAGCTTGATTGTCACACATGAACTTATTCTGAGAGACGACTCTTTCAAATCACTGCCTGTTCCTATTATTTCTGATCAAGAAAAGATACTGTCAATACAAGTGTTTGTTGATGAAATGCTTCAGAAGTTGAAGATGCAAGCTTCCTCTGCTTCAGATGGAATATACTTGGACTGGCATCTGTTAGAGGAAGACATTTATACTCGTAATAGATCATCTTTCAAAATGTTTGAGGATATAGACACTTACTGTATTGAGGTAGATATGGACTCGTGTAATAGTCGAATGCTGACTTTGGAGTTTGTTTTATCTGATGCATGCTCAGATGAGAAAAACACAGAAGAGAACACTGAGGTGCTGAACATACAAATGAATTCACCTTCTAGTGGAAATTCAATGGATCATGTGTGTCATGATGGAATTACTTCAAGTAAGTTGAATGACATCTGCCAGAAGATGGAAAGTGGAGAAGATTTACTTGACAATAAGGTTAACAAGGCTCATCAGCTTGTTGAATCAACATCACAGTTCAATGATCTTGACTTTTTATTAAACCCTTTAGAGGTTACTTGTTTGAAAAAGCAAAGACCTGCTGATAAGAGACTTGAAATGGATTATGCTCTTCCCATGATTTCAGCCAAGGGCCCAATCGAGACGCATGATACCTGCGAAAAGCAGTGGCAGAGCTTGGAGAATGAGTTGCATTCAGTTAAGTTTTTTCCTTGCATTTAGTAACGTTTTCTTTTAATGCATTTTGGCCCTCATTACCTGCAGAAAGAGCTAAATAGCCATGTTGTATAGTGACAAACATGTGAAAGTTTTGAAAATTAATATCTATCTGGAAATCATAATTTTATTTCTTCTAAACTCATTTTCTATCTTTTAGCAATGATAATTTTATCCTCCTCATTTAAGTTTAAGCATCTGGTTTAGTTTATAAGGGTTAGTTGTTGTTTTGATTTGAAACTCTTTACATTCCATACATGTATTACAAGCTAGAGAGAAGATCTGCATTCTACTTCACCACTAAGCAAGAGAAGCAAGAACTCAGAAGGACTGCTATGTTCTACACCTGTTGCGGAAAAGAACACCATGGGATCTATGAAAGCCACATATGAAGTTATGACTAGCTCCCTCCATCTACATGTACCACAACAGCCCTCAGCATTGGATTCAAAGAAAATGAGCACAAACATGCCTTCATTACCTGATGCGGTTATAGTGGTGAACACCCAAAATGTTGATACAGAAATGATAGTTTCCAGGAGAAGCACATACCAAAGAATACTTGCAATGGAGAAGGAAGGTTTACAGGTTGTTGAAAGGGATTTAAATCTGCCAGTTGATGTTATAGTTAGTGCTGCCGTTTGCTTAGTGTTGTATGACAGCAAAAACATTAGAAGGAAGACTTCTTTAGATGGCGTTTCTGCATTCTTATCTTCATGTGTTGAAAATATTGCGGCAAACGTTTTGACATCACTTAGTTTTGCCTTCAGTAGTTGCATTCTGGTAAGTATCATGCCAAACTCTGGTTCATTATTTTTCAAGGTTCGTTTTAATAAACTTGGATCATACTAGCCTTAACCCAATTACTTGGGTTCTTATACATACTTTTCCTTCCACCACTTTATTTTTAAAGCATGGCATCCTTCTAGACCTCTTAGTTATGTTAGTTCTGACGATTCCTCCTTGGGACACATGCCTTTTAGTGTAACAATTGATGATTATCCGTTACAGCCAAAAATGTGTCTAAACGTTATTGCGTCTTGGTCCATATTTGATTGTTCCATAAAGGTAATCACACATTATGTTACTTGTTCTCATGGAAAGTTAGGTTCCAGTAATTGAAATTGTTGTACCATCACTACGGAACTATGACGTCATCAAGGCAACGACTTAGATGTCAGCATGGTTTTATATTAACAAACTAATGCTTGTCATCTGCGTGGTAAAAATATGTCCATTTTTCTATTTCTACATTGCGTTTGCGGGTAAAAGAGTAGTTGAACAAACGTTGAATAATAGAGTACCCGTTTTTGCTCCATATAAATTCACACATGTGCTGATCAACTTATTCACCATTGAATTTCTGTGTAGCTTGAGATAAATTATTATTTGACAGTCTCTTTGATATACCTTGTTCTACAGATATTTGAAGGAGAAGTTGGTTTCCTTGCTAGTATAATGGAGTCATCAGATGGATTATATGCTGCTGCATCAAGCCTAGGAATTGACTTGCAGCTCTTTTGTTCATATTCATCTGAGATAACTGATGAGATAATATTGAAATGTATCGCACATGCTGCAAAGTCAACTAGAGGCCTATATCCCAAGATGCCCGAGTCTGAAACTCTAGCTGAATCGTTTCTAACCAAATTTCCTTCAATTAATCCACTCTCGGCACATGCAATTTTGTCTTCAGTTGGAACACTCGTTGAGTTTCTTGAAATGTCTCATCAGCAAAGGGTTTGTGCCGTCCAAAAGTACCTCGTTCCTGATGCAAGTACCACATTGTTTAGTGCTTTATGCAGATATGGTGAGCGAGAAGATTCTAGATCAGGAATGACAGATTGCTGCTCTTCAGTGTCAGAAGGTCATGACTCCGGCAATTGTTGTCCTAAGAGTGACCATGAGAAAAAGAAAAGAAAGTATGTCAGTAGTCCTGAGGCAAGGGCGATGTCCATGGATTATTTATTTCAAGTTGAGCAAAATAATGATGTCACATGTGATCCTCCCAAAACTGCAAATTCACATAGTTATTGGAATTTGGAAGCTGAAGAAATATCTGATGATATTGTGAAGTCTAATACAGCTTTTGATGAGATTTATTTTGGTGAAAACCAAAGATCTGCTCTGGGTATTATGCTGAATCCTTCTAGTTTGGCTAAGCCATGTAATATTCGAATGTCAGAAGCACCTGAGGTCTCAGGTGAAATAAATTTACCCGACATGACAGTGATTGAGACATCATTTGGTCAAAGCAAGAAAGTGCATATGCCCACGGTGAACAAGTTAGGTAGTCACACTGATAATAACTCTAAAGGTCTGCACGAAGGGTTTAAAGGGGAAGTTATTGACATTGATGATGATGCTATGGCAGGTGAGGACTTCTCTTTGGTGCACTCCGTATGCTTTTCACCTAGAATAGAGAAGGGAAGTGCCCCAGGCGTTTCTAGAACTACAAGTAAACTATCGTCTGGTTGGTGCAGTCTTCCTAGTTTTCCCTCGGCTGCTGACATCAACTCAGACTTAGATTTCTGGATTGATACCAAACATAATGGACAGAGTTCGAGAGAAGAAATTACACTGAATTCGCATGCAGATCTAATGAACAATGGCATACCTCTAGAGCAGCTGCAGATATCCTCAGAGGAGTGTTTACTAGTGAACTCTCCAGTGGATTCCTGCAGACCATCTTTTAAAGGAAAGGATCCACATTATGGTAGGACACCACTGTCAAAAGCCATTTTCTCTGCTCAACCACAGAAAGGTTCACCTTGGACTATAGATTTTCTTAACAGAATTAAGGAAAAGAGCAGGCTGCGTCAGCAATCTGTTCCATGCATATCATCTGCCCCTTGTTTTGGCTATTCAGGGAATTCATCAAAGTTTAGAAAGAGAAAAAGCCCATCTATACTCGACTTCTACAGGTACCAAAGGAGCAGCACCGTGCAAAGCATGGAGCACAAAGGGCAAAAGGTTCCTATACAACCATCAAATTCATCAAAATCTGTAAACACATCACCTTCCTCATCACAGACATGGACTCCAATTGATAAGAGAGCAAAAAGGGTGTGTCATTCATACTTCTAATACATATTTTGAAGTGGGTTTTTGTGTGTAAATCTTACATCAAATTCTTCTACTTGGATACAGAGGCTAACTTTTGCCACCAATGGAAGCAAGGGCCAAAGCAAGCTAATCTGGAGTGATAAGACTAATCAAACTCAGAAAAGAAGATAGTAATGTTGCATGCTATGAGCATGAAGTACAGGTAAAATTGTTTGGGCATTGGTTCATCATCTAACTAGCTTGGTTATCAACCCAATTTTAGCTGTAAAATGTGGGTTTTGATGGCTCGCTAGTTTTCCTACTTGATCATAAATGGAAAGGTATACATAAACCGTTCATGAGATGAACTTACACTTGAGATCACAATTTTGTGTTTCATGTATCCTTATCCTAAGTTTCCTTATTCCCTTGTTTGTATCCTTATCACTGTTTTTTATGTGTTCTTAATATGGACGTGGAGGTGTGTATGATATGAGAGGGGTATGGTGAGAAAATTATGGTGTTAATGGGGAAAGTATGTCTATTGTAACTTACCTGTTAAGTCATTGATCTATTGATTTATATCTTAAACAAACATTCGTATATGGGGAATCGAATACGTCCTCCAACCCGTTAAGTCCATTAAGTTCTAGTAAAACACCACCGTAGTCGTTATATTTCAGCCATAACCTTTGAATGACTAATTTTGTTCGAGTTGTAAGAATATTGAAAAGATATGTCAATGATCTCATTCTTGCACACATCCCCATCCCAGTCTGGTTGAATTTCTTTGGTAAACAGTAAGTATCATGCTCTGCACCAAGCACCAGAACACACAAACAATACTATGAACCCACTTCTAGATCATGAGTGAATTTGTTGATGTTGCACCCATCAAGTATGGAAAGTGCCAAACATTGGGAACTACCATTTGGGACCTTTTTAGAAATTGGACGTTCTGAACCCAGCTCACGTACCGCCTTCATATCACCTCTTTATCATTAGCTATACAGAAAACACAGAACCCACATCAACCTCGGCACAGAGAGAGAGAGAGAGAGAGAGAGAGAGAGAGAGAGAGACCAGAGGACCTTGATTTGGAAGGGGAGATTGCATCACCATAGCATTTGAATCAGATATATATGGGTCTAATGGATCAAATTTGGGTTGGGCCTGAGTTTAGCTTGGCAGGGAGAGAGGTAGGCTCATCGTTTGGACAAATTTCATCTTTTTTCTTTCACAAGCCATGGGTCTTCATGGAAACATCCACTCTACTCTTTGGAATAGAGGTAAAGTCTGCCTACATCCTACCCTCCCTAGACCCGATCCCTGGGTGGGATATACTGGGATAGTTGGTCTGGCTTGAGGTAGGCTAATCGTTGGCTTCAATGACATTGTAGGTGATCCATTAATGGGAGAAATCAGAGTGGCATGTTGGTTCCTCTTAGGGACTACCCTCTTTTATTCTGATGGTGGTCCAACAGTGGCATGGTGGTTGGGATGATGGAGGTTGGACGTGGGGGCATCAGCTCTTTTTCTTCTGCCATAGGAAGGGTTGGTGATATTAAGTTATCTGTTTAGTGGTGGAAGATCCTAATTAAAGAAAAACATCCTTATCTCTAATATCTAAATGAAAGAAATGACTTCATTACACTAACTGTATTGTAATGCAATAAGCGCATGACACTTTCCAGTAATATTTGGTCGGGAACACAGCACAAATTACATATTTGAAACAAAAATAATTTAGGGTATCAATTACCAGAAGTGAAAGGTAGAAGTACATTAAGTTTTGAAGGTAAAAGCATAGGGTTTTTTACTTTTCTGCAATCAATTGCTGCATCAAAATTGATGTCAAACCTGTAAGTATGTTCCATAAACATTGAAAGTCCCACATGATGGAAAAGAAGGATGGGCCAGTAGAACATAAAGTCGTCACTAAACATTTTACAGTAAGTGACATTACTCGATGCAAGATGAAAAACAAACACAAAGATAATGGTGTATAAGATTTGTTAATGGTGGTGCATGCTGTGGGATATCCAAACACAATCTCAACACAACCTATCTCGTTGATCTTCCCATAACTGGATTCACGCCACAATATGTTACAATTTTAGGCATCAAGCATCTACAATACTGCTATTTCTTCTTACCATTTCGCAGATTACGCAAGGTCATTACAAGTTGTTGTCTTTCACCTTCCACCTCTGCAAATCTTAGACTTATTTCTAAATATTTTTCTTGCATCTCTTTCAGCTCACTTTCCATATGTTTGTTCCTTTCATCCAATGTTGATATTTCACTTAATAATCTGTTAAGGTTCTGCTCATCATTGTAATGAGAAGTGGGCACTGACTGCTCTTTCTGTGAGCATCTTCTTCTTTCATTGCTGGAAACACAGAAGATGAAGAGTTCTTTATTATGTATCTATACATTAATGGAGATTGAAAAAAGAAGCAAAGGAAGGGAATAAGTGAAACTGCTTTAACTTAATTGTGTGTACCTTTTTGCTGATTCCAGAGTGGATCTGCTTACATCATGCTTGTTTGTGGTGATGCTAACATCACATGGTACATTACTTTCCTGCAGATCGAAGATAAGTCATCAGGTGAGTTATGGTGCTATTCATGTAGAAACATAAGTGCTTAATTTGCAAGTCTTTAAAAAGGTATTGCTTTCTACAGAAATCTGAGAAGTTATGTATACAAGTACGGCTGGTTTATAAACCAAACCAAACAAACTCAATATATCCCATCCAGAAGAGGGAGGAGGGGAGATGTACGTAGACATTTCCTCTGTCTCAAGATGTAGGCAGATCTTTGGCGGGTTGGGTTTAATCGGGTTATTTGCAGGTTGGGTTGGGTGGGTTGGCGGTTCGGTTGGGTTTTTGGCTGGCCCTAGTAAAGAGGCTGTTTAATAGTTTACTTTATTGGAGTTACAGAATCAGATAGACCTTACTTAGGATATGCAGAAAAAAAAGAATATGATTCCTTCAACATGTGATGGATGAGTAAATGTTTGAGTGCTTGCTTGTGTGTACATTTACATGCATTTGTATATGTATCTAATGCGTGTGTGAAAGCCGAAATTGGATTATGTACCTTGAGCAAGTTCAGGTGTTTTGGCTGATCCATGGTTGTGGTTGCCTCTTCTTTCTTCCTTAGGTTATGCTCTAACCTAGAAACCTCTTTCTGTAGATTGCTTTTCTCTAACTCAATTACCAACAACCTTTGTCGCAATTCGTTGTGGTCACCTCTTAGCATTTTCAGTTCTGACTGCATAGACCTAATCATAACGTTCTTTTCACTCATCAAACTCGTCCAAGTTGTTGATTCCTTCTGTAGCTTTTCTGTTTCCTTCTTTAGCGAAGCAAGTTCTGTCACCAATAATTCTCTTTCTCTAATCCATTCTCGTGGTGTTTCTGCTTCTGCATCTCTAATAAAATCGCAGTTATTTGCTTCTTGTATATCTTTTGTCAATGAGAACTCTTGACGAGATTTCTCAAGTGCTTCTTGTAAGTCTCTCATCTGCAGTTGCAAATTTTGAGCTTCAGCAATTGCTTCTGAAGCCAGCTTCTCTTTCTCATCAAGCTTTGATGTCATTTCGACAGAAAGCCTTCTCAATTCCTCCTGAAGGTTCTCAGCAGCAATAGCATTGGCCAACCTTGTCTTTCTTAAAGCCTCCTCTGCTTCTACAACTCTTTGCTCCTGTTCTATTTTGGCTTTCATCAAGTCTTGTACATCGTCTTCAAAATCATGCCCTTGCTTATCTAATTCTTTCTCCAAGCCCTTAACATGGGTTTCTAACTCAGTGATCATATCCAAAGACTGTGAGAGTTCCGATGTCTGATTCATAATCTTTTCCTCTATTCTCTTTACCTGGAGTTCATATTGTTTAATTGTGGCCAAAGAATTTGAGTATTCGCTTTGCATCTCCATCTGTTCTATCTGTGTCTGCTCCAACTTGCAAGAGATGTCATCGTTCTCCTGCAGTAAAAGTTTATAATCTACAGAAATATCTTCAATATGGATCTTCAACTCCTCCTTCTCTTTCTTTTGGAGCTCTATTTCAGCATACAGGCCCTCAATCTTCTCTTTTTCATGGTCCCTTTTGCATGCTATAGCTTCTTTCGCCATTTGACTTTCTTTCAGCTTTTCAGAAAGATCAGACATCTCTGAATTTTTTTCCTCTACCATTCTATCAAGATCTTTGACTGCAAGAAACAATTTAGAATTGGACTCTTCTGTTTCCTCTAGATGCAATGACAGTGATTTGTTCAAATCCTTTTCACGCTTTAGCTCTTCTCTTACTTCATCTAAAAGAACCTTCAATACTTCTGGTGATTCTGACAGACGAGGAACTGCCTTATACATGTGTTTGTGTGAGGATTTGAGTTGATCACATTCTGTTTTAAGGTATTCTTTCTCCTCCTTGAGTTCAGCAATTTTCCTCGAGAGATCTTGTCCTCTTTTGTTCTCCTTCAGCATTTGCTTACGAAGAGACTCTAACTCCAGCTCTGATAACTCTGCTTGCCTTTCCAACCTGGTAACATCACTTTTTAACACTTCAACTGCATTCTTTGATGCTTCAGCATACCCATTCGTCTGATCCTGATAGTTGTGTTCTGGGCTGTTTAATAGATCAGCCATACTTCTGTCTGAAAGAGAACCCAATGACCAATCGGTGCTTGATCTTTGCTGTACATGATTTTCTGCCCGAAGGGCGTCACCCTTCTTATTCACAGGGTTTGGGTTCCTTCTGACAGCTGTATGCTCCTGGAATTTAGGATTGTTCTCCAACCGAGGATCTCTGTTGTTCTGAGAGTTTACTCTGCTTATGTAGTCATCCTGATTAACAATTGGAAACATGCTCTAAATATCAACCTTCAGCTTTAAGAAAGCTGAATTCAGTGTCTTTAGTAACATTTCAACCCTCATAACTTGCATTGTGCATAAATGGAATCGGAATATGCTGCTAATAATGTATCTTACTTCTGCAAAATCAAGGATGTTCTCATTTTCGCTGCCATCACTTGCTTGATTCTTCGATCTGAATGATTCAGCCTGTAGAGATTCATTCTCTTCCGACTCTCTGAGATGGCCCCAAGAATTGATCAATATTACATCAACTAAATAAAAAACCAATATCGGATTGATTAACTATGCTTCTTATACCTTTGTTCGTCTGTTCGTTGCATCTTTTGAATGAAAACCTGTCTCATGTTATAAGTATTAGTAAATTTGTCATTTTGGAATTTTTAAAAAGTGAACTTCAGACTGGTATTGTGATCCCATTAAGCCACTAATAAATTTAAACTGCCACACACACATATGTATGCATGTGTGTGTGTATATATAGATAGATAGATGGATAGATAGGTAAACAGAGAGAGAGAAAGAACTTACATGTAGAATTGCACCAGAGTTTGAAGTTGTGAGGGGAAGAGAAATTTGAAGAGGTTCAGTTGCCTCTGCAAAATCAGCAAAATCAACTCCTACCTCTCCTACAAAACCCGCTTTCGAGGATCCCTGTGAGAATCCTGAAACAACATTACAACGCCATCGAAAGCTTCACCGAAGATGAGACACAAATTTTGCAGTTATTTTCTTACCGTTGCCACATTGAAGTAGTAAATTTTCTCTTTATATGTTTCTGTTTTTTGATGCTTAACCAATTTAACCATCTCATAAATAGGAGATTCCCACGTACAGGTTCCTTCTACAATTGCAGTTTTCTCTAATCTGGCTGTGGGCTTCCCAATATCTGCTGGGATCAGAGATATCATCAACCCTTTTCCTTTCAGCTTTGGCACCTGCAATCAACACACCCAGAGGTAAAAACGTTAAAACCCGTATATTGATAAACCATAATTGCTTGATCTCATTACAGATAACATACCTGTGTTGCTTGAAACTGCATTTGGAACATCACTTTTTTGCTGTTTTGAGTCTTCCATCTTCCCGATTTGAACATTTTGCTTCTGCTTCTGGTTTTTTGATCTATCTCTTGTTGTTACATTAGGATCCAGAATTCAGATCTCTCCTGACAGCATCCCAGATGGGCTGTCCTCTTGTAGCCTTGGTATATAGCTGTCATAGATGAAGAACCATAAATGCAAGGTAAGAAGCCTTTTTCTTTATTAGCCTAAAAAAGTTTAAAAAATTTGGTTCTTGATTCGAGTTAAATCAATCACAAGTTGTACTTTAATTAGACAACAAGGTAGGTAGCCATACTAGAATATTGTATTCCTGCATGACAGAGTAACGTTACAATCCTCAAAGCCGGTACTCAACTTGTAGATCAAACTTCTGGGTTGTATTTTCTTAAAACACATAGATCATCTAACCATTTTAGGTTAATGGTAAAGAGTCGAATTTGGAATGTAGATTTATGGGAGCATTATTTGGGGGACCAAAAGCCACACCAACCCTGGGGTATTGCGTGGCCAGGTATGGATGGTTTTATGCAGGCAGCCGGACCCATATTGGAGTATCCATTATTGAAGCATTAAGTGTATGGCTTATCTATGATTGACCCATATCTATAATTAAAGTCTCAACTTACAGCCCTGTTAATCCATGAAAGCATCTACCCATGTGAGCCCATGTGCCTCTCCCTGTCTCTCTCTCTCTCTCACACACACACACACAACGGCTATATAATTGGTTAACTAGAAATATTATTATAAAAATAAATAAAACATGATACTTGAAGTCAAAAAAGTAGGAATGAAGTATTATTTGTTAGGATTAGAATAGAATATGTGAATAATGGTAGGAGAACATGATGCTGTTGTAGCATTCAACTCCAAGATTCGGTCCCTTTTTTACTCCATCAGAAATCTTGCAACGGTGTCGTGTTGTGGTCTGGAAGGTGTTTCTAACAGGGTTTGGACAAAGAAACTTAAAAAGTTTAATTATGATCCACTTCATATAAAGTGATATAATGACCTTATCCATTTACATTTAGCCATCTAATTACCACCCAAAACCATCCAAATTACATGTTTCTTCTTTTTTTTTTGTCTTTATGTGTATGTATCATATTTAACTTCTTAAAAATCATCCTAATTAATATTTGGTCAAAATCCTATTGTTTTTTTGCATGCATCTTTTAGAAAAGGATATAACACTACTTTTATATAGATTTAGTTTTTTTTTTCATTCTTAAAACTTTGTGTTTGTATCTAGTTGCAATCAGGGGTGCACTCTCCGAATGGAATTGACATTTGAGCAAGACAAATACTACGTCGTAGGCGTAAGGTCGATGTGTTTTTAGGCAAATTCCATCGTCTCGAACAATTTCTTCAGTTTTTTTGGTTGATTTTGAGGATTTTTACGGGTTTTTGGTTGATTGCAAGGCCTTTTATAGGTTTTTGGTTCATGTCTCTTGGACTTTTTTGGTTTTTACTTATATTTTCAAATATCTCGAAGCACCCCTAAAAAAATTCCCTCACAAAACTAGATTGAACAGTAGTACGAGATCCCACCTAAGCCTTCGTAGGTCCGCTTGTTGCAATCATGGTTTTATATCTAGTTTTTATCAATAGTTTTTTTTGTTGTATAAAAAAGTGAATGTAAAATGTTGTACCTTTTAATTAGTTTAAATAATGTTGAACATAATTAGTGAGTAAATGCAGGATAAGATGGTTGAATTGAAAAATGGAGGTTAGTTATGAGAGAAAGCAGTAGAGCATCTTATTGAGCTTGAACCCCTACCCTAAAGAGGCAATGCTATAGCTAGTAGAGAGCAGCAGTGATTCTGTTTTCACTTTATTTCATCTTCAAGCAGGTGTGGGGTTTGTGGTAGATGGGGACCATAACCTCCCTGTGGGTGGTTGTTGGGAATATTTAACCTACCAAAATTCTTAATTCAAGATGAATCTATACACCTGTAATACAGTCTTTTTGTCAATTCCTTTAACAAATTAAAGAAAAGGCCATCACCCTAATTTAATGTTTTTTATCCGAGCTTTTATCAGACGCTTATTGGATTGTTTATCGGTAAGTGTCATCACTCTCACTTGTTTTATTGAGTAACATTCTAGACCATTAAAATGAGTTGTGGTAAGTGTTTTTTACCTTCTCCGTCACTTACAGAGGAAGAGTATGAGTTCTTACAATATTTCTTACTGGGTAAGACTTTCTTATGTTTGTCACACTCACTAATGAGTTAAATAACACCCAGTAGGCACTTACCTGGTAACAGTTTAATAAAAATCCGTTAATCACTTTTGTTATGTTCTATTTTTTTTTTCAAACTATGATTTATACACATAAAATATGCATTTTATGTGGGTTTCAAAGGCAAATTCATCTTTTAACACATTTTAATGCATCTTTCGCACTTTCTTTCTGCCTCTCTGTTTGATTTCTATGATGTAATGATAAAAAAAATTGTGACCATCAAAGTATTTAAGAGTGTTATGTAAATTAGTCATGTAGTCATATGTTTAGATATTTGTCTTTTATAAAGGTCGCATTTCAAAAACTCAATGTTATAAAAACAACTAAAGGATCTATTGCTGGATGGATATCTTTGGTTGCTAGCCTGCCAATACTCTTGACGTTTAAAAATCTTGCCATAAAAAATGTCATAATTGTCTTGTTTGAAGTGTTTGTACGGATAATCACAACTACATTTTCAAAGTTTGTCATAAAAATAGTCAAATTATTTAAAATTGTGATATAATAAAATCAATCATGTTTTAAAGAAAAAATATCAAAGTCTGTCTTGTTCTAAAATTTGTTGTTAGCTAAAATAAATCAAATTTAATAATTTTGACATCTCAAAACCAGTTATATTTCAAAAAAATTGTGATTCTGAAAATTAATTGTGCTTTCTTTTTTTAAAATCCATTAGATTAACGGAAAGAGCTTTGCGAGATGTAAAAAACAAAGAATTTAAAGGGAAAAAACCTAACACACAAACAACAGTGACCCTGTAAAACAAGAGAGACTAAATGGAAAAAAAAGAACAACTAAAAAAAAGGCTAGATTGCATCTGCATTTGGAGAAGCAAAATCCAAGAATTCCAATATTTATAGAAAGACATACATCTTAGAAATATCCAATTGAAGAACCGAAATTAATTTCGTCAAGAAGGTTCTTGCTCAAACCAACACCTTTGAAGATACAAAGTTCCTTTTTCTTCAAAGAAAGTATGCAACAACCAAATTACAGCTTGGAAGATACATTTTGAAGAACACGCAGTACGACTAACACCGTCGAAACAAATTAGCCCCATTAAAGAAGATGTGATGAAATCCTCCAAGCTCCACCATTTGAAGATGTTTCCCCACAAATCCCTAGCATTTTTTTTTATTAACCTGGATATCCAACCCGCTATATGAGCCGACTAATCCCAGAACGACCACCTGCTTTGCAGATAGATCACAGTCACAATATTTGAACTTCCGTGGCAACAAGGGGATTTTTATTCTTCCTTAGATTTTAACCTGAAACCTCCTGCTATTTTTGACCTTTGGAGTCAAGCTCAAACCAATCAGATACCACTCTTGTGGTTAATCCCTAGCATATTTGCAACCAAGAAGATAATGTTCCACCGATTCGATGAAATCTTTACACATCAGACATAGAGTTGGCTTCAGATCGAGTCATTTTATTTGTAACTGTTGAACTACTGGAAGACGATTTAGTAGAGATCTCCAAATGAAAACATTGATTTTCCTTGGCACAATCTTGTTCCAAGGTGTTAAAAATTCCCGAAATTGAAGTTGTGAGAGTGTTGATGTCGACCATATATATAAGACATTTAACCTTGAAAAGTACATCTTCACACAAAATTCACCGAATATTAAAAAAATATTTTACAAAATCAAACAAATATCATGCTTTTCATAGTTTGTCATAAAAATTCGTAGTTATGGTTTACACGTATAAAAACCAACCATGCTTTAAAGTTTTGAAAAATAATTGCATTTAATATCTTAAAAACTAGCTTTTAAAAAACTAGTCATGCTTTTAATTTTTGGTTGCAATTTTCTAAATTTGACTATTTTTCTTCTTTAACAATATATTTTAAACTTGATTATAATTGAATTTTTTATGACAAATAAATTTAAAAAAACTAGAAGGGTACTCATGCAATACATCGAGACACATCTCTATTTCAATGTTTGGTTTTATTCCTTTTTTATGTTGATATAATACGGTTTTATGTAGTTTTGAGAAAGCGATAATGTTTTTAAAAGTTATTGTTTCTTTGTGTAATTTCTTTAATTCAATTTTTTTATTATAATTTAATTTAGGTTTAGTTTTGAATTAATTTAATTTATGTTTAATTCAAATTTTTTATTATAATCTTTTATGAAGATAATAATTAAGTATTTTGTTATATATCAATGATTATCCTAATTATATGTTAGATTTTTTTATATTTAAAATAAAATGTTTATCCTGTATTTGATTATATTTATCTACAGTTAGTTACACGAATTCAAATATGGGGCTTTAATAAGTTGTATTTATGTATAATTTACTTATAATCTTGAATTTTAAGTAATATGCATCAACAAACCGTACTTCGTATATAAAAATGATTTTTAAGAGTTTTTGCCAAATGTTTTATAATATAGTATAAATAGTTGAATTCTATTTAATAAAATGGTTATTAGAATATAATAATAGTGGGAAAATAATTACAACTTCAAATTTTATTATCATACCAATATTTTATTTCTTATTTTTAATATTCAATTTCGAATTAAGAAAATAAGTAAATTATAAATAAAATAAAAGAGAGAAAAATTATTAAAAAATGGTTTATTTATGTACACCAAAAATTAAAACAATGATAAATATTTATATAAATTATTTAATACGATAATTAAAAATAAAATATTAATTAGACAAAATCAAATTAAATCACCTTTTAGATTTTTAAAACTTGTGTTATGGAAGGTGTAAGTTTGGTAGAAATGCAAATAGGTGAAATGTCATAAATGGGTTTGAATTCAAATGATACCGACCACATATCTTTCTAACACGTATACTCTTTATTACAACAATATACTTACGTAATTGTAACATGTCTTAAAGTGAGATTGTTATAGATCAGTTGATTATATTGAATGGAAGGGACGTTTACCAAACATTTATCCGGTAAGTGCTTACTAGTAAAATTTAACACTATAATTTACTTACCGGGTAAGATTTTAATCCACCAAAACGATATCGTATGCAACAATTTACCCGGTAAGCGTTTACCGTGGTAAGAGTCGTCGCCCTCACTTACCGGGTAAGACTCTTGGTTCTTATCTCGTTCTTATCGGGTAAGATTTTTGGTCTTTACCATATTCATGCGGTGAGGTAATGTTACTTGGTAAACACTTATCCGGGTAAGCGTTTGGTAAACGGCCCCGAAGTTAGTAAAAGGAAAAAGCATAGAGCGAAATGACGATGAATATG